AGCCGAAGTCCTCGGTGGAGGAAGGTGCTCTGGTAGAACATGTGAGGAGATCGAGTGGAGAAAAGGAAGTGAGAATGGGCGACGGAGTCACGAGTAATTGCAGTGGGTCTACTTTTACCTAAAGGGACACGAGACCCAAACTTTTCTAGGCTGGTAGAGGGTTGGCAGTGAGATACTTTTGTATCTTATGCATCAGAAGTCATCATAGGTACATACAAGTCATATGTGTGACTCTTAGACTGGCAAGTAAGAGAGATGATTTGGGAGAACTTTAGAGGGAGGAGGAGACAGCTGGAAGAGCTCTGGTGTTATGGCCAAAAGCAAAAGAAGAGACTTGTAGCGATGGAGGGACAAGGGCAGTACATGGAAAGACAATGATGGGAGGAGCAGAGGCAGAAGGGCAAGACAGACCTTAGAGAAGTAGAGACAGAGGTGAGGAAGCGAGAGGGGCAGCAGAGGGTAGATCAACGGACACTTCTAACGAGGGAAAGTCACAAAAATTATATGCAGAGAGAAATGTGGAGGGAAGGGCGTAGGAAAAGCCAAAAAAAGAGAAACTAGGAGAGGCACAAAGGAACCACGAAGATGGAGTGAAGGTGGATGTGAAAATGGTAGAGGTTGGTGGGATGGGGAGAGAGGAGACATTGCAATATTTAGAATTTGAGGGAGGGTCACCATTTTTCAAAGCAACATTTGTAACCTGTTCAGCATAAATAAGCCTCTCTCTAGACTGTCTCACCCATCTATAGCTTCTGTCAACATTTATGGCCAACTTACCCCAAATACATTCGGCCAGACCGGGTCTGTCTTATCAGCTGCCTCATCTAAGAGCCCAGAGGACATCTCCCGGGGATATCTTTCAGGAACCTCAGATTTAGTGCTTCCCGGACTGATCTCATCACCTTCTTCTCTGAAACCAGAACCATGAAACTGTGCCTGTTCGCCTTCTTCTTTGCCAGCTTCCCTCTTCAGCAATGCCCTTGTCACTACCAGTTTGCTCAAGCAGGAAACACAGGGCGTCCTCCTCCCACATCCTCCTCTCCCTCACACCCCTCACACCCCGTCAGTCACCCGGCCCTGAGACTTGACCTTGGCAGTATTTTCAACCTGACCATTTCTTACTGCAAATGCTGTGATGCTAATCAGTTCTCTGACAACTTTCCCTTGAACTTCGGCCAGCAGAGGTTATGGAAGTGTGGCTGTATTTACGTCACTGTCCTATCTAAACCCCAGTGATGTTCACAACACTTGGGGTTAAGTCGGTCCTCTTCCTGAAGCTTCTAATTCCTCCTGTTTCTCTAGCCTCCGTTCTCGCATTCCGAGTCTCGGTCGTGCCGACTGCTTTTACTTGCTTGACTTGCCTATGCCCACGCTCTGACCTCTACTTGGGTCTAATTTCCTTCTCCTCTCCCTCTCCCTAATCTGGCTTCCTCCTGGTTACATGACACTCCCCCCAGAAGGCCATTTTCTGTTTCTTGGATGGGACTGGTCCCTCTGTCCGTACGTCCCCAGAGCATGTTGGACTGGCTGGGGAACAGTGCGCACACTTCATCATCGTAACGTGGTTTGTTTGTGCCATCCCTGTAGACTGTGATTTCGAGGCAGGGGCCAATCTGTCCTGTCCTTGCTGTGCCTTCTGACCTGAGCACAGTGTCTGGCACCTAGTAAGGGCTTGATGAATGTTTATCAGGAAGTGCCCTGACTGGTGTGGTTCAGTGGGCTGGGCATTGTCTCGCAAAGGGGAAGGTCACTGGTTCAATTCTGGGTCAGGGCACAGGCTTGGGTTGCAGGTTTGGCCCCAGGTTGGAGAGCACATGAGAGGCAACTGATTTATGTTTTTACCCCTTTCTTTCTCCCTCCCTTCCCCTTTCTCTAAAAATAAATAGATAAATAAATAGATAAATAAATAAAGTCTTTAGAAAGATATTTGTCAGGAAACAAAAGTGTTCATAATTCTGTGCTCTAAAGGCTGAACAAATGTTTTGGCAAACATTACATTACTGATGTATTTATTGAGAAAATTTTACAAAATGGTTCTAAAAATCTCACTTAAGTATACACGTAATAAGCTACTTGTGTGGAAAAGAACATAAATTGGGAATAGACACAAAATTCAGCTAAGATTACTATCAGTTAGTGAGTGAGAATAGCCAGTAAGGGGAAAAGAGAAAAACCGAAAGGTAGAGTTCAAGGTAAAAAGCAAAGCACTGGAGAAATAAAGAAGGGAAGACACAGATGCAGAGATTCAGCGTGAGAGGGAGCCTCACCAGGGACTTGGGGACAGAGGGAGGAAAGGGGGCCACGAGGCTGTTTGAGGGGACAGATGAAGATTCTCCAGGAATCCTTATTTATTCCAGGGGCAGAATGCTCCACATAGGAGGATCTAGTACAACCTTGGGCTGTGGGTCTGGTGTGTTGTCACCCCAAAATCAACGAGGAAGGCCATGGAGCACGTGACCAAGCACCTGAAATAATCAGTATGGCTGGCTAGGGGAGTCATGCGATGACGCTAAGTGTGTCACAGCAGAGGTGACTGGAGGTGGCTCAGGGAGCGCAGGGTGGGTTCAGGAGAGGAAGACTCTGGTGCTCCATGCAGGGGGAAGTGGAGGGGATGTGGACGAATATGGTGAGACCTGGAAGGGGAGAAATACTTAAGAGTGGCACATAGCAACAGGGGACAAGGAGACAAAAGACACACCGTGAAGTGCTGGAGGGAGGAAGTGCAGAGGTCAGGAGAACAGAGAGGTGGGCACCGCAGGAAGGAGAAGCAGAGGCAGAGGGACGGGGAGAGAGACAGCTGGGAGGGGAAGAAGAGAGTGAGCACTTAGGAAATGGAGAGCAAAACAAGCAAAGCTGGCCACCGTGGTCACCTGTCCTTGCCCCAGTGTCCTGTGACTGGCTGAAGCTCCAGCTGCCTGCAGGCCACAGGATTCCACGGGGAGACTGGACCGTCTGGAGCAGGGACTTTCCTGCTTAGAAGTTCTGCAAGCTGCTGGGCCTTTCCTGACATCCCTTTACTGGGGGGTTTCCTGCTGGCTTTCCTGTTTTATTGCTTTGTGCAGGGAGCAGCAATGAGCCCGGTGAAGAGGGCGAGGACAGCCAGCTTCTTCCAGGATGTGTCTGGATGAAGCAGGTAGAATAAAATGTTCCCCAAAACTGCTCCATCGAGTCAAGCCCTACCAGAACTATAGCAGTCACAAAACCATGGTCCAGGGAATTCCCTTGATGTCGTTGAAGTTTGTTTTTCAGACCCAAGCCACACATCACAGAGATAAGCTCACTCACTACCTGGTTGGGAAAGTCACTTCCAGCATCCCATAATAAGTCTTGCCCAATCCCAGAATGCTTTGCTTCACTGACTATACCTGGATTCAGGGTTCCAAAAGAGGAAAAATCCTGCTAAACTACACCCTACTGGTGAACCCCAGTGACTTCGTGTTCCCAAGCAATAAAAAAACCCCTGAACCCTGCATTTGGGGTGCAGAACCTGAGGCCCCATCTCAGTGCTCTCGCCCCCTGCTGAGCCTCAGTAAATCTGCCTTTACTTTTATCAGCACCCCTGGTCTAAATTCTTTTACGTCAGGAGACGAGAACCCAAACTCAACAGTGACATGGATTTAGAGTTCCTGTCTCTTGATACATTTTCCTTTGAGTGCCCTCCCCTGTCAAGGGCCCATCTAACGCTGAAAACCCACTCTTAGGAAATGCGGGAGGCAAGGCCCTGTGCATGGAGCATGTGTGTTTATGTACCGATACCCGAGTAGCAACAAGATAGCATGCCCGTAGTGGTATAACGCAAGTATGTATTTGGCTTTTGCTCCCTGGCATAGAGCTCCCCAAACCCTTAAAACGTCTGGAGGGGTAATAGTGACTTTTAGAAATCAACTGGTGGTTACAGGATCTGAATTTGCAGCTCCGCCCCTTAACATCTGGGGAGAAAAGAGAGGTAAACGATTAAGTTCGATCACCGATGGCCAACGATTTAATCAACAATGCTTATGTATTGCAGCCTTGGTGAAAGTCCCTAAAGAGCTGGGTGTGGGAGCCTTTGAGTCGGTGAATGTGCTGACACGCTGGAGAGGGCGCGGGGCGTCTGGGCCGCGGCTCCTCCAAACCTTGTCCTCTGCATGTCTTTCCTTTGGCCGCCCCTGAGTTGTACTCTTTATACTAAAACTGTGATCGTAAGTTGAGCGCATTCCTAAATTCTGTGAGTCTTTCTAGCAAATTATTGGGCCTAAGGGAAGGTGCTCTGGGGACCCCAAATTTGTAGTGTGCTGGGGAGAAATGCAGGTAGCTCGGGGACCCCATCTGTGGCTGGGGCCTGAAGTGGGGGACTGAACCCTTGACCTGTGGGGTCTGTGATAATTCCAGGCAGCTAGTGTCAGAAGTGAATTGCTGGCTATTCCATGTTCGAACCTTTATCAGTGATAAATTGTTAATCAGATGTACTGTGGAATTCTCCGAGAGAGGCAGATGGAGGTCAGGTAGGTTATTAAGACAACAGGCAATCAGGCAAAAGGATGACTGCACATCCTGATTTGTAATTTACTCTTAATCAGGGCCTGACTTGGTGAGGTTACATGTTAATTTACAGATTTTTGTCTAGTCGAGATGCAAATGATTTGTTTGGTAGAAAGATAACTCCCAAGATGATGATTTTTTTGGCTTGTGGGACATTAACTGGTTTTGGGTCTAATGTAGGAAATGTGTTTGAGGCAGCTTGACATTCCTGGCTAACTTGGCAAACCTGCTTTTTTTCAATTCTGTGTTAGTGGGTCACACACATTGCAATAAATAAGGAAAAAAGAAAAAAAAGAAAGAAATGGATGCTTTATGTGGGGAGTAGGAAAGAAGAGAAAACATTACTTAAGAACATGATATATAAGTCAAATAAATGGAGGCGCATGATATGATCCTTTATAGAAAGACTCAGTATTTCCTGTTGTGCGTTTCGCTCCCAATTATTCCATAAGAGGACTGGATAAGGCAATTTTAAATTTTATTTAGAAAAATAAATGAACAGAAATGGTGACAAAAAAAGTGTGAAATAAGAAGTGTGACATGATGTTTGCACATCAGCTGGTGGCCTGGGGCCCTGGTTACTTGGCCGAGTCCTGCTGGAGGCTCTGGAGACGGAAGCAAAAACCGACAGCATTAGGCAATGACGGGCTCAGGCTGAGAGCTGTTCTCGCTGATTTCCTGAACTGCAAAAACATTTTTGAAATTGTCCTCAAATTTGGCCTCTAGTTGAAGTCCCAGCCTGATGAATTTATGGTCCTGAAAAAGAAAAGACAGAAACAGTAAGAGCCACGGCCAATGAGCTTAGACTCCCAAGGTTTTGGGTGACCTGGATCTCCATGTTACGCTACCCCCAAAGATTAAGTGAGACTTCATCCAGTGAAGAATAGCTTATGTTCCCCGATAGCTTCATCATTTCTCTTTATGTAGAAGACAGAGAAGCAAAAACAGTGCTGTACTTCAACCTAATTCTTCATTGGAAATTGACTGATTGACTTAATTTGACAAAATTCAAGTTATTTGAGTTTCGAGCACAGCACGCATTACTTGCAACAGTATGGTAGTATGGAACCATCTACAGCAAGTTCATGGCGCCTTCCCTCCCCCTTCGTTCTCACCCCTTGTTATTTAATCCTTGCTAACTTTCTGATATGGCATTAGGGAATTTGGATCTAAAGAAATCCAAGAGTTTGAAATTTGAGAAAGTTGGTGTGGTATCTTCTTTTAGCGAAGAGAAAACACTAGTTGCCTTTGAAAAGCACTGTGCCGGGGAAGGGACTGGGTCTGCGGGCTGCCGCTGTCTGGGGGAGGAGATGGGCTGTCGGCAACGAGCAGGCTCTGAGGTCCTGAGGCGATGGCTTGCCCTCACACCTCTGGTTTGTTACTATTTTCCCCTCTGTAGACCACAGGGCTGTTAGGATCCTTCCAGAATTTTTGCTTGTGTAGGCTTGCTGCAAGATGCAAGCCTACTTCGTCCCTGATCCAAGACGATGAAAGGCAAAGTGTCTTAATTGAAAGAAGAAGGGATGTAGGGACAGCCACTTACCCTGTAAAATGTCCTGTGGTTCTGAAAGATGAGGCGCATGTCCTGCACAAAGTCTTTCACTTGGCCGTATACCTTCCAAGTCAGCTTTTTCCTGATTTTGTCTAACCACATGCACTTCTGCAAGCCCTGAAGTGCCTGTTTACTCTGTGGATGAAAATGCCAAAGGGCGGGCTGTTAGTGTGGTTCCAAGTCTCCTTTTACAGACTCTTCACTGCTGTGAACTAGGTGTTTGTGTTCTACTCCCTGAACTCATGTGTTGAAATCCCAACCCCCAATGTGATGGTCTTAGGAGGTGGGACCTTTGGGAGGTAATTAGGTCATGAGGGTGGAGTACTCATGAGTGGGATTAGTGCCCTTTTGAAGGGGATCCCAGAGAGCTCTCTCCCTGTTTCCACCCTCTGAGGACACAACACAACATCGGCATTTGGCAACATGGAAGAGGGCCCTTGCCAGGATCTGACCATGCTGGAACCCACATCTTGGACTTCCAGCTTCCAGAACTGCAAGAAACGAATTTCTGTGGTTGAAGCCACCCACTCTGTGGCACTTTGTTACAGCAACCTAAGCCTGTAAGGGCTGACTGAGCTGACTAAGACATCCATCAACAAGGCAATGATAATGGCAACTTATATCCATTGCATTCACATCACAAATTTAACCCAATGCCAGTTTGGGGCTGTGTTGCTGTTACTTACATAGTATGGTTTTGAGGCAAAAAAGGGACTTTCTGGACAGGAGTAGACCTTCAAGAGGAGGAATTCACACTTCTGCAAAAGATAGAGGATATCTTAAGTGAAAAGCAGCTTGGAGAGAATGAGCTCTAATGCATGTTCAGAGTGCCCCTGTGCAAACACAGAATGGGCATTTCCTTTGGAATACGAATTTCGGTGTTAGATCCTGTGATCAAGGCACAGTGAGGGGGACAGCAGCTTGCCTCTGGGCACCACTCCTCCAGCCCCTGCGAGACTGTGCTTCTCTCAACTGAACAGAAGGAGGAGGGAGGCCACAGCTTCTCATTGCAACTCACCAACTTCTCCTCACTCAGCATCTGCCTCTCCAGGACCTCTGATTCTTGATGACATGGCTGATTTTCTGGGCAATTTTTTGGAATAGCTTTTATCTGGCAGAAGATGCAACTCCATGGGTTCCTGAGAGGTGGGGCATAAAATGAGCAGAGGCAGGTTCTCTGTGAAGCAGACACTGTTCCTTCAGCTGTTAAAGTCCTGTATTTAAGAAGGACTATTGGTCACCACCTTGTAGCCAACTTTCTTGGAGGCTCCTCCACACTAGAGTCCCATTTGGGATCAATTGCCAAAGACATCCCTCCCGTAAGTAGTCTACTGAGTCAGGTGCCACGGTGGGTAATGGACTCTCACTCGTCTCAAAACTGAGGTTACTCATCTGAGCCACTGGGAGTGTGGTGATGAGCCCTGTCTGCCTCAGTACAGTGTGGGAAATCAGTACTGGGCCTCCGCCAACCATTGGGTCACAGGAAAAGTCAGGGAAACAGCTCCTGTCTCTCAACTTTCCTGCATAAGCACAGAGCATAAGCCACAGGCATCCTTTCCTCTGGCAATGCTACGTCTACACCTAGAACCTGTGCTGCAGGAATGTCCTGGGAAGGACACCTACCAAGAGAGTGTCAGATATTCTATTTGCCACCAGAGTCTTCTTGACGGTACCAGGCTCTCTGTGCTGAAAGGCTCTCAGTAACCAGGTGGATACAATGATTCATTTTAGAGGTGTCATTTAGCCTCTCTCCTGGCCCTACCGGTCCTTTCTCAAGAGGCCCATTACAAATTAAGCTATACAAACTGTCAGTTATAAAAACAGTCACGGGGGTGTAAAATACAGCATAGGGAATATAGTCAATAACATTGTAAGACTTATGTATAGTGTCAGATGGGTACTAGACTTATTAGGGGCATCAATAGGTAAGTCATATAAATATTTAATTACTATTTTGTACACCTGAAACTAATATAATGTTGTATGTCAACTATAATTGGAAAAATAGAAGCCTATTACAAAGTTCCTGAGGTGAGGGGAATGGGACTATTTGTGGGTTCACCCAAAAGCGGGTCTATCTTCTGGCTGTGCAAAGTGCCTGACTACAGAAGTTTATGCTGGATCACTGGGGTGGCACCACCCCCTGGGAGCTGCCGTAGAGCAGGTGGGTTATGTTAGATTTCTCCCATTAGGGAGGATGTGGCTGTGTCCTCACGGAGACACACACGTTCCTGGTAGACGTCCTCTGCCCACGCCACCACCTACAGATGCTGTATCAGTCTCCCTGTGAGCCCACGTGCCATCACCTCTGACCAAGGAGACATTTTACGGCTAAAAAATGTAGCAGTGGACTCACTCTCAGAATTCCTGAGTCTCATCCTGGACCCTGTCACCCAGGGTCAGCTGGGCATGGCCTTCTGAGGACTCATCACAGCCCTCACTTTACCAAGTTTGTGATGTTCCCAGGGCAGGTGATACATGCTTTCAACCAGCAGCGAACATATGGTGTCAGGACCCCATCCAAGTGTGTGGGCTGGGGAACAGAGGTGGGCAGGTGCTGGTGACACCACTTTCTGTAATAGAAAGAGGTGGCAAGTAGTTATTAGCTACTTGAGGAGTTTTCGCTTCCCACGAATCTACTGCTGCCGGCATGGTGAAATGGGTCTGATATTTAAGGACCCTGCTCCCTCTGCAGGAAGACATGCAACAGGAGACAAACTTTGCAGGATGAGTGTGCATGCTTGGGAAGAGCTGTACCACAAGAAGGAAGGGCAAGAGGGGATCAGATCTCACTAACCTGTCAGGATCAATATGACAGATGTGGCATTTGTTATGAAAGGACCTCGGACAAGTATCACAGCAGAACAGCTTTCCTTTTTTACAACACACCTCACATTCATTGGAGTTTTCCGGCTAGAAGGGGAGAGAATGTAGACAGCAACGGGATCAGTGAGACTCAGGAAGGTCGAGAGGCTGGGATACTAGAACACACAGACTTTGCTTGTACCGAGGTGACACTGGTAAACTTCTCTCCACAAAATATTAAGGGTTGACGCTGAGCAGAGATTTTAGAAGAAAACATTCTGGTCTGCAGTAAAGTTCAGGAGGAAGTGGTTGTGTTAGATCAGGACAGTTTTCCTTATGAAGACAGAGATTCGGCCAGCAACGAAAAAGGATGAATCAAAGATAACCTGAGATATTTATGTTGCTGCTGGAAAAACCTGGCTCAGGAGTACAGTGTCTTATCTAGTTATCTGGACTGCATCACCTAATGGGACTCATCAAAGAGTGACTTACTGAGAATTTAGTATGATGGAGTAAACTTCTGAGATACCAGTGTACCCCACTTTTTGGAAAGACCATGGGCGCGAATGACCAGGTGAGTGTCAGGGAAGACAGAGCTCTTCAGCTCTGGGAGTCTGGGGAAGGTGCCCCATGACTCAGCTTGGCACGTAAGGTGTGGAGGCTCCAGTTCTGAATGACCAGAGAGTGCGGCAATCATTGAGTCCAGGGATGACCTGGTGCTATGTTCTGTGTAAGGAGGATGGAGGAGCCCAAGAAATTGATTGATGCTGGGTCCTCCGCCAATCTGAGTATGTGGGGCTTTCGGCCAGATTTGATTTCCTTTAGTAAAGTAAAAAATCTGACAGTGTCTGCACCTAAGTATTGTGGAATGAAAAAATACACGTTAAAATGGTAAAATTTAGAGACCCGAATAAGAGTTGATCGAGGACGGAGCCCTTTGGAGGGTGAGGGAAATCAGTTGTGTTTTTAAAAATGTGTGTGTGACAATCTGTGTGGCCATAACATGTGAACCTCTGCATACTAAAATTTCTATACATGGCCCCGGCTGGGTGGCTTAGTTGGTCGGAGTGTCATCCTGTGAACCGAAAGGCCGTGGGTTTGATCCCAGGCCAGGGCACATATCTAGGTTGTGGGTTCAATTCCCAGCTGGGGTGTACACTGGAGGCAGCAGTCCATGTTTGTCTCTTATATTCCTTTCTCTCTCTCTCCCTTCCCCCATCTCTAGAATCAATAAGCATATCCTCAGGTAAGGATAAAAGTAATAATAAAATGACATTTCTGTGTATGCGGGTCATGTGTCTGGGATGGAGGTGGAGAAGGGTCCAGAAGGATTTGGCTCCTCTTCTGGGACCACCTGAGCAGAAAGAGAGTGGGGTCGAGGGGAACGATGTGCTGGGGAAATGTTTCACCCAGTGAAACGCTACCACACCTAGATGAAAATCTCCTGTCTACACCAGGCATTAGAAGGGGGAATTCTGTGACAATCTGGGTACAGAATAATGCGCAGACTTGGGGACTGGCCTGCCCAGAGGTGGGTGGCTGAGATGCGGATGGTGGTGAGGAAGTGAGAGGTGACAGGGAGGGCCATCCCACGTCTCCATTCCAGAAACGCTGTGCTTCGTTCTGTGATACTCCACTCTCTCGGATTTCTCCCCCTTACACTCTGCCTCTTTCTTTGACGCTTCCTCAGTTAGAATGTGGGAATTCCTTGGGGCTCTGTCTTACACGCCCCGCCCCTCTCACTACTCCCATGACCACGCCTACCGTAGTTAGACTTGGACTTTAAAACCTGTGTCTCCTCTCTCCTCCTGAGCCCCTCAGCATCCACACCCTACTTTCCATCATCTCCAGGTAGACCTTCATCAAGTCCAAAGTCCACCCTGTCCCCAAGCACATTCCTTGTCTTTCTGTCTGGATTCTGCTCCCTCTCCATCTCCTCCTCTCACCAAGCACCCACCCCATCATTCGTCCAGGAGCCTGGAGGTAAACATAGATTCTGCCTTTCCCCACCCAGACATCCACTCCATCACCAGTGCTGCAGGTCCCAATTTTAAAATGTCTCATCCTTAGTGCTTCTGTGAGGTACACTGCTATGAAGATGTGGAGGCCCTAATTATAATACCATCTTATTAGCCAAAGAAAAGTGGCCTTCTACGAGAGTTACTAATCATAACAGTCATTATATCATCTCTGGGTCTAATGAGCTTAGGTGAATTAGATGATACCTCAATATGTAAATTCTCTTCATTTATAAAGGTGATATAAGAAGAAGAGGCACAACAGTCACATGTATGAGGAAATTCTAAGCTGCAATATGTTTCTTGCCCAAGTTCTTCTTTCCAATAGGAAAACCTGTGGAGTGGCTTGGGAGGAACATCTTTGGGAATTGCCCCCACTTGGGCCTGGCTTGTCCTGGCACAGGCCATGTGACTGTTTTTCCCCTTTGTCCTGACAGATGAGACTCACAGGTGCTGACCACTGTGAACATTGGGTATTGTTGGGATCACCTGACTTCCTTCCAGTCTGGAACAAGACCGCCTCTGCTCTTACTTGCAGCCCAGGGAAAAGTGGCCACAGACAAAACACCCGCTGTGATCCAAGGAACAATGATCTGAGAGGTGGTGATTTCACCATCTGCCTCTCTGGGTGGCCTATAACCCTCGCAACCTCCTCATGAGTTATTCTTCCATGTTAGACAGTGAAGTTGGCAGGGGGAGATATAGGGGCCCCATAAAGGACACACTTGCCCTGAGTACATTTCTTTGCAGAACTCATGGAAGGGTCCACACCTTGAACTTGCCAGCTTAGCCTGGCCTATTCTTTCTGGCATTCATGAAACCATCTGATGGCTGCCTGCACCGCAGAGTAGATGTTTGGGATCTTTCTTTCCTCCCCTTCTGCCTTCTTTAAAATGCCTCTATCTTCTCATATTTGCTCTTTGCCTCTAATCTGCAGGCCAGCCCTGCCCATTTCCACTGCAGGACTCACCTCTAACGACCCTAGTAGTCTAAAGCTCTGTCTCTCATGGTAATGGGGAGACTGGCAGGTTTCCTTCGAACAACAGCAAGGGTGCTTTTACACTGGAGACACCCAACCCCAGACCCATCTATCTGATGGGGGCGATAAATCTGCTGTTCACTGCTCATCACACACAGAAACATGTTCCAACTGAGATGAGCACACTGCGGGAAAGACGGCAATGACACAGATAATGTACTGAGGGAAAGGGCCTGGATTATTCTGGGGTTACAGGTGGGAGTCCGTACTTACATATGGGTCAATAAAGTCATCTCTGTGAGACTCTGGTATCATCTATAGAAAGCAGAGGAAAATTGAATGACAATACTGAATATGAGTTTTCATTAACCAAACATTTGAACAGACTTTTTACGTAAAGCATTTATGCCCCAGCCCTCTTTTTGTTTTGCATCGCCTTTTATGGGTCTGTATATCCAACTGGAGAACAACAACCCCCCCCCCCCAATAAATTGTGTTAGTGATAGTTTGGCCCAATGCAAGTTACATTCTTTGGCTCTCAGACCTAAGCTGGCTTGTGTGAAGCTGTGTGGAGAGGGATTCTGGCCCTGGTCTTCCCAGATGGAGTTGGAGCCGCAATGAGAGACTCAGACTGAGGACTCATCCCCTGCAGCCCCAGTGACACAGGCCCAGAGTCCTGGAAGCCATGCAGATGTCCCTGCGACTCCACTGCCTTCCACAGCTCTCCTGGCACAGCCCTAAGGATAGAATGTGGACAAGGTCCCAGTTCTGCACCTCTTCTTCTGGAAGATGAGCACTTTTCCACTGTCTCCTAAATGCCAAGAGCTGCACTGACCTTGGATAGCTGCAAAATAACTTGACCTCCTTCTAGTCTGGAACAATGACTACCCCAGCTTTTACCTCCAGCCCGGAGCAGAGAGGCCATAGACAACCCACCCAGGGGACCCAAGGCAGAATGACCTCGGAAGTGGCTATGTGCCTGCCTGTCTCTCTGGGTGTTCTAGAACCCTTCCCCTCCCTATAAGTTGTTCTCTCAGGTTAGACAATGATGTTGAAATAATCAGATAAGGTGAGTTCTCTCTCATTTAGGGTCATTCTCATTTCTATCTCTAATGTTTTAGTGCTTAAAGAAGTCCTGGACTCATACACTGTAATGTTTGAAAGCAGCAACTGCAAAAACACCATGTTGTAAAATCAAGTTTCATCAGAGTTAGTGAAATTAGTGATTTTAGAAACTGTAAATATGGCCACAGAAATGAAAAATCAACAGTATGATAGATGAGACACTGGCTGAAAGTTGTATGATAATTACCTTTTTTCTTGTCCTTGGTGGATCTGGTAGATGTCCTTCCTGAAAGAGAAAAGAGATTACACAATGTGTCCACTTTGTACTTTTTCTACTATTTCGAGCTTGGTGTCTCTGGCTACCTCCCAGATATGTCCCATTGTCAACAACGCACGTTCAAGGTGTCTTCATGGGAAATACCTTCCCTCCCCAAATCAGTAACATGCGGCCCTCCGTTATCAAGGCTCAGCTTTAAAAACTGCCCCCTCTCTCTTGCTCTCCTTATGAAGGCTTTCCAAGTTTTTCTTTACAGCCTCTTCTATCACTTCCTTTCCATCCCCCCTCAGGACCTCTCCAGTTTGTGTCTTTATACCTCACACACTCCATTGGCACATACTTGGTAAGTGACGGGTATCAGCCTTGGGCACACAAAGGTGTCCAGACTTTTGGGGAGAGAAGTGGGAGGAGCTGGCAAGCCATGAGTAAGGACAATGAAGCATACATCATGCTCTCCTAGATTATTTTGGATTCCAGAGATGAGTGAGTGTGGTGAGTTGAATAATGGTCCCCAAAGATGTTCATGTCTTAATCCCCAGGCCTGTGAATGTTAATTTACATGTGAAGAGCAACTTTTCAGAGGTAACTAAATTAAGGATCTTGAAATGAGAAGATTATTCTGATTCTCTGGGTGGGGCCAATGTAATCACAAGGGGCTTCGTGAGAGGGGGCAGGAGGATCAGAGTGTTAGGAGACATGATGACAAAGCAAGAAGCTGATGTGTGGAAGGCACCACGGGCCAAGGAGTGTGGGTGGCTTCTGGTAGGTAATAAAAGCAAGGGACACACTGTCCCTGGAATGCTCTCTGCTGACACCTTCACCTGAACCTACTGAAACTGATTTCAGGTATCTGGCCTCCAGAACTGTACAGTAATAGGTTCATATTGTTGGAAGCCCTAAGTTTGTGGAAAGCTGTTAAGGCTTTATGGGAAACAAACAAAGAGCATGTGAAGGACTTCAGAGAACATGCTGCTGGAACTTGGCCTTGCGGGTTGAGTGAAGGTATGTCAGACAGAAAGGCCATGAAGGTCACTTAAGGTTTCCATGGCTTCAAGTACTCCACCCTCTAATCCATATTGCTTTCTCTGATCAGATCGATATTTCTAAAGCATCATTTCAACTATGTCAGTCAGTCCCTAACTCAAACCTCCCATGATCTCCCCTATGATTAAAGAAGGGTCCACCCTCTATGGGGAACCAATCTGCCTGGCGATAGCAAATGTAGCCCAGCCCTGCTGGAAAGTCCATAGGCACGTGTTGGCATGCAGGACGCCAAACCCATGGATGGGCTTTCCTGTGGGAGATCAGGCCTGCATTGTACCTAGGCTGCTTTGAGGCTCGCTCTTGCTAAAACTCCCTCACCCTGAGTTGAAACAGAAAATGCTTACTTCGTATCTTTAAAGTAACTTCCTGGAGTCTGCTAATTCTCCCAACGACTAAAGTGTAACCAGACCAATTACTGTTATTGTTCCCTTGTATTTGCAACATTTCCCCCTGTTAATCTGTAGAAAATAATCAGTAACATCCTTTCCTTTGTTATGCTTAAAAAGTAATTACCTAAAGCAAACCTGAATGAGAACCTTCTTTGATGTATGCTATTACAAATCCAATAAAAGTCTATCAAGGCAAGGGTCGAGGTGTTCTCCCCTTGAGAGAGTGGCCATGCTGTCCCTTTTTCTCCACAGGACTTCGGTAGTCTGTGTGAATTTGTTCGTTGCATCCACAACACACAGACCCCGCGGGCCGGGGTCCACATCAGTCCTCCTTCCTCTGGCCTTAAGATCTCTATAGTTAGTTAACCCACCCTGTGTACTGAACCTCATCACCCACAACTTCTTGATAAGTTGTGGGAAGGATTCTCATGCCATCTTTTTTATGTGAAATGCATCGTATCTACAGCTCTCCTTGTCAGAACCCTTCTTTTTTTAAGATCCAGCTCAGTGCAAACTGTTCCATCAAACTGTCCTCAACCTCAAGTCAGAAGGAACTCCCCTCCCCTGAGACCCCGCATCTCTTCCTGCCAGTGCCTGACCACCACAGCCCTGTAGTGAGCAATGTGCAGCCTCCTTCCTGGGTAGGGACTGGGGCGTGAGCCTCACAGTCCCTGGTACTCGAGATGTATCTCAGTGAATGTTGCTGAGCAAAGGGCTCTTCACGATCATCAGAGTGGAACAAGGAAGGGCCGTCTGGGGCGACTGATAGAAACAGTCAGAAGGCAGAGGCTCATGTGTGGCAGGGAGCCAGCCCTTTTTGCCCACATCAGGGGGCTGGTGTGAGGACCGAAAGAGGTGTTTCAGAATGCCACTAATGTATACTCTCTTTCACGAGTGAATTTCAGATGGCCATCAAAAGAAGTAATGTTGAAAGACGACGAGTAATCCATAATCCAGGAAACATTCATATTGGTGTGTTACTTTCAGATAACCCAGTTCTGCTAAGCTACTTCAAACAACCACTCGTGACAGAGTCAAGGCCACAACTTACTCTCTACCTTCCAGGGGGGTAAGAGTTCTTGCACTTTGAGGATTAAGCTGTAATAAAAGCCAGCCGAGATAACACCTGAGTGGACTATTAGTAATGACATCATTATGACCTGCCCAAGGGGGTCACAGTGGCTTTCCGGACACTGGTAAAGCTTGGAGTTGGTGGATCGTGACACTATGCAATTGGTTTCAGGGCGATTGTCACTAGGGTACCTGAATCAGGACCTTCAGGGGCCAGCCGCCGCAGCGCACGCTCAGCCTCCAGTTCTTGGATTTTTCATGGTTCCCTTTGATTTCAAACTCCTTGAGGGTGAGCTGCTTTCCATCCTCCATCTCTACACACTTCGCTGAGATTCCTGTGAGGCCGAGCAAGACAAGCTGAGCTCCCTTTGTTGCCAGGAGGTGCCCCCGACTGACAACCCCAGAACTTGGCCTCACACCACATGGTGGCTTGGAATCAGTAACACAGGAGAGCTGAGCTCCCACTCAGGCGCCCAACGGCACCGGAAATGCGAGGGCGGAAGGGGACTTCCTGCGGTGTGTGCACATTTCTTTGTGAGACGAGAAGGGACATAATTATCACCAACATTTACTTAAAAAAACCACTTAACTACCATATTTTGCTATGCATAATGCACTCCCTTGTACAATGCACACCCATGATTTTGGTCCAAACTTTCAAGAAAAACAAGCTTTCCTTCTAATTTTTAGATTTAATCAGTTATTTATTTATATTTAGATAGTTGTTATTGTATTGTAAAGGAATTTTAGCATTTATTTTTGAACATATTATGGCACAAAAAATTTTGTGTAAGAAATAATTACAAACTACAAGAACAGATACAAGGTATTTCAGGTACTACCTATGTTATAATGCAAATCCTTTTTTTCCCTTAAAAAATTTGGGCAAAAATGTGCTCATTATACACAGCAAAATGTGGCTTGTTCAAAAGAGAAACAAACCAACCAAATGAATGGCTCTAAAGGAGAATGACCAAGATTCTTTCCCTTCCCTTCTCTGAGACCCTCGGTCGATCCAGGTTCAATGTCAGAGGGGGCAGATGAGGGCACTCAGGTGGCCATGTGGCAGCTGTCTCCTCAGCCACGTCTGCCTCGTCTGGTACAATGTTGATCATCCAGCTCATAGCAACCAGTGATTTCTCACCTTTTGGACTCATGGTTATTTTATGTGGAAAGTAATTATAGCAATGTTACGTGGCGGGAAAAGTTAAGTTACTCACATGCAATGTAATCGTAGGGCACACATTTCTGCTTGTTGGCGCCAGCCATGGCAGGTGGACGTTTGTGTTCTACTTCAGTAATTATCATTGGCTAGTTATCCCATTTATTCTCAGAATAACATGGGGAGGGAAGTTTAATTATTATTCCTATTTTGTAGGAGGAAGTTTAGGAAGTTTAGGAAGTTTAGGGAATGGCTCGGTCCAGATGAAACAGACACTCTTGGTATAGCTGAAACTCGAAGCCAGGACTCCTGATTCTAAATCCTGTGCTCCTTCCGGTGAGCACAGGGTGGTACAGATGTTACAGGGAACAGGGCTGTGAAATCGCTGTTGCATTTCCCAGATGTGTACATTTCACTCCTGATACTGCAGCCCCTGCTGTTATGTTAGGTGCTGGATGGGTGTCATGGGGACCTTTTCTATGGAAGAAAGGGGAGACAGCTTGGTAGGCTAATGTGTATGAATTTGAAAAGTGTAAAAATGCCATCCTTCCTCCAGACTGTCTGGGATACGGTGCAGAAAAGACCTAACAGAGCGGACCCAAGACAGCTATCTTTAGGAATGCCTGCTTCCGAGGTCAGCCCTTGGCTGATGTCTGAGAACCTGGGTTTCAGGAGAGGTCCCACCCTTCCCATACGGCTTATGCTAAACACCTGCTTTTCTAATGGGAGTCTGGAATTTCGGCAGGTGATAGGTTAAGTGTACCTGTGTAGCTAACTCCTGACAAAAACTCTGGGCTCCTAGACTCAGGGCAGCTTCCCTGGTGGACAACATCTCACACGTGTTTATAATTCGTTGCTGGAGAATTAAGTGTGAGTTGCGTGACTCCACTGGGAGATGGCTGTTGGAAACTGACACCTGGTTTCCTCTCGACTTTGTTAAGGGTTCTTTTCGCCTTTGCTGACTTTGCTTTCTATCGTTTAATAAATCATAGCAATGAGTTTGACAATATGTTGGGTCCTGTGAGTGCTCTTAGTGAGCCAGTGAACCTGGGGATGAACTTGGAGACTTGATGCAGGTGTCTTGCCCTTGAAAAGTACAATGGCCACATGGGGGTAGTTTCCCGTTGGAAAGCGGGAAGACCAGGGGACTCACCTTGTTTCATTACCTCCTTATATAAAATCCCCTTCGCCCGACCACAGGTGACAGGAAGTTGAGGAGGCCGAAAATCCATATTTGTATCTCTGGGAATTCTTGGAACTGTAAGGAAGCATTATTCTTATTTTTCATTCTGTCTTCTACAGCTGTGCCCCCTTTCTCCTCACCCATCTTGAGATCCTTCTTTTATAGGTTAGAATCTATTGGAGGGAGTTCCCCATGAGCTAGGTCTTTCTTTCATGGCTGGTTAGACACATAAAGAGAATGTCATCCTCTCTTCCTATTCTCTGAAATCCTGCATAAAAGCCTTGCGTGGAAGGGCCTGAGTTCCCAAGCTTATTGGCCACAACCACCTGCTGCACAGTGATTTTTTTCTCCTGTGTTTGAGGAAGATGTCTAGTCAGTCATATTATTGATTTGAAGTTAAGTGGATGGAGAATCCCCCCCCCCCCCTCAGCTTTTAGTTTTGTCTCCTCAGCGGAGGCACCCGCTGGGTGCACAGGGAGCAGGGTGACCTGGGGACCCAGTGTTGTCGGGGGAAACCGGGCTCTCCCACAGGATTGCGGGGACAGCATTCCAAGGACCTGCACATGGGAGGCGGGGGTGTGGCAAGACAGTTTACTAGTGTGGAAGGCTGCCCCTGGGTCCCCTCTTTGTTCGTCCTGTCATGGGAAAAGTCCTCTTTTGCCTTCGGTAAGGCCAAAACCAAAGCCAAGGCCCAGAGTTTGTTGCAAACTACAGCTTAGTCCTCCGGAGCCCAGGCGGTCTGCTGCAGGCCCACGCGGCTGCTGGAGCCACGCGGCTGTGCGCTCCCAGGGGAGAGAGAGCAGACAAACGTGTGGGCGAATGAAGGTGTGTGTGTGAGAGAGAGAGAGAAAGACAGAGAGCGGGATTTTTTTTTGTTCCCCTGGGATTATATTAGCCTTGGTTTGGGACTAACTAGGTGCTTTTTAAAAATAACCAATCAACTTCTCCAGCTTTCATGGGCTTTTTGATGGGTCCACCCCCTAGTTAGACCAACAAGCTGTGGTCAAGCGCCTCTCCCTGCACCCTCCTCAATCCCGTACCAGAGGGGCAAAGGAGGAAGGAGAGTTAAACCCCTGGGGTGAGCAATGCTGTCGTCCCTGAGTGGGAAGGTGTAGCTTCCTGCGGAAGTGAGCGGGCTCACGCTCCCCAGTTTGTTAAACTCAGTGCTCCCTTTGCTTTCTTTCTTGTGAATAACTAATTAACTGGCCATGGTGACCCGAGCAAGAGCAGTGTCTGCGTTCCCTCCTTGCCTTCTGCCTTGTTTCACTTCTCCTTCCTGTGAACTTTGTGGCTTTTACTCTGTGACGCCCAGGGCGGTGTGCTCTAGAAGACACTGCCAGTTGCTCAGGAAGAGGGCCTCTGTACATCCTCTGGGTGGGGCACCAGGCTCTGATTCTGCAGTTGTTGAAAGTCTTAACGTGAACTTCAGTACCAGCGGCACCTGCGCCTGTCCTCCTGGCTAACACTGAGGGGGTCCATGGAGATACATGCTAGGGCTCCTGTCCAGCATGGGCAGGATGGGCTGTCCCTGGTCCTCTCAGGGTCAGTTCTGTCAGATCTGGGGATGGCCCAGGAAGACACTCACCCATGTACAGAGGAGGAAATTAAGGCAAAAGAAGAAAGGGCCAGAAAAAATCACTTAATCAAAGGTATGTTAGGACTCAGGACACAAGTCTTGTATTACCACCCAGGGTCCCCACTGGCGGCTAACTGGTGGGTCCCTGTGTGGTCAGGAGATAAACAGCACAGGAGTCACACCCTTGTATCAGTGCAGTGACGGGAGCCCTCACTGATCAATTGATTAACATCAATAAAGTGGCGTTACCAGCGTCCTGTCATGTGGTCGCCATTGACCAAGGCCGATGACCACCCTAAGGTTTGTTACTGGCTCTGTAAGCTAATTCAGAAATTGATCCGTCACTTAGAAAACAGTATTAGATTAAAATTTAGATGCTTAATTAATAAAAGTGTATTAATCACTTCTTTTTACCTCTTTTTCTGCATCTTTTCAAAGGTCCAGTTTTGACTGCTTTTATCCCTGAGGGGGAAAAAGAAAATAACATATATGTCTCTTGTTTATGAAATTGCATTGTGAATAGTAGTGTTGTGGAAAAATGCCATTCAAGTAAAAACTCTTCAGGAGCTTGTCTAGTACTTCAATAAAACTATTGAATGCCTAGTTCAGGATTAAGAAACTGTTTTCTGTAAGGGGCCAGACCGTAATTATATTTAAGGCCTATAATTACTCAATGCTGCTGTCATATTGTGAAATTCTTCATAGGTAATACATAAATAAAAAGAGGTGGCTGTGGATGTGTTCCAATAAAACTTCATTAAACAATGGCTGGGTTTACTCTATGGGCCAGAATTTGCTGAACCCAGGCCTAGACTCAGTTACAAGGATGATACTTAACTGAGATTTGTTCTAAATTTCTTCTGCTAATGTCTCCAAATTATTCCAGATAACTTTGTATTATGCACTATGTCTTATGTATTTCCCAAGCAACAGGCTGAAGAATGATGAAGTTGGACACTTGTTGAGAGCTTGCTTTGTGCTAGAACCATTCTTAGATCTTAGTTGCATTAATTCACTTCATTGTTAGAACAAATGTTTCAAATAAGAACTAACACTACCTTCATTCACTAGGTGAGGAAATAAATGTGTAGAGATAGATATTCCAATTAAATAAGGTACCGGAGATTTCCTCTGATAGAGAGACAGAGATATAAGGCAGTAATATGAGGTCTCGAGGATAGATCTCATGGTGAACTCTACCAATCAGATAGCTGCCACAAACCTAATCTTGCCAGTAGATTTTTATGCTAATTATGGAGGAAAAATGAGAAAAGATTTAAAAACTAACCCAGTTAAAGGAAACAGATAGAAATTGATGCCCAAGTTCTAAAGGTTATAGGGATAAAGATAACAAAATATCTTGGAAGATTAGGGTACACCACTGACTATAACCTGAGTCTGTTCATCACCAGCTATTATCGGCAAATGTACATTCTCCTCCTCTTAGTTTCTCTCTATTTAAATCCTCCTGGGTCTAGTGGGTGAGCGAGGCTCCCCTTCCATTAAAACCTTCAGGTTTACAGACAACTTCAGGGTAAACAAACAGATGCTCCATGTTCTCCAGCCAGTTTTCAGCATGAAAATATTGGGCTGAAACACCGAATCCCATGTGTCAAGGTGCGGAGGAGCTTTGCTTTCAATGGTTGTGAGTTAGCATGTTCCAGCACCTCATTGTTGTCTTACGTCTAGGAAGGAAAATGTCTGGACAAAGTAAGGTTTAACTTTTCTTGGGTCTACTGTCTTAATAACGCTAAACCTCACATTAACCCTTATAAATAATAATGTAGCCAGAAAAATTAAGATCAATACAAAATAACTTTCTTAATAGTTAGGTCTACTCATTAGAGAAAAAAAGTATATCAGGTTGCCTCAGAGTATCGAGGCTGAAGCCTCAATACCCAAGAACAATACAATAGGAGCCTAGTACACCTATATCTTAAAGAAAGAGGCAAGTCTAGCCGTGCTGCAGAGAACATGGTAGGGGACAGTGAGGCCGGTTCTGCCAGCATAAGCCTTTCCTACCACCAGGCCTAGAGAGGAACCAACATTTCCTTGGAGAGAATTGTCAGACTCCTCTCTTTAAACCAAGAGAGAAGGTGTTAAAAGACCCACACATGAGATGGACTCTGTCCTTGGGAACGTAGGAGAGACTGTTAGGTTCATCTCTAAGAAATGTAAAGATGAAGGTCATGACTAGAGCAGGCTGCAGTGGGAGAAAGGCTGAGCTTGGAGCCAGCAAGGGAGTCAATAAAGAAGCATGATTTCCATGGCTTGGTTGGATCCCTGTGGATGGGACCTGGACCCGGTGTTTGTGAGAAATACTCTGGCCAAGAGAACCACCTGAAGTGATGAGGCAACTGCAGCAAAGTGCAGACCTTTCAGAAGGTCCATCCAATGTCTTAATTCCCAAGCAAGTTGGCCACCATTTAACTACTGAGAGATGGTAACATACTGAGTCTACTACACTAGGAGAAAATTTATACCAAATTTCCTCTCCTTCCTTCTCCCTTGCCAGTTTTGTGGCTGAAAAAAAAAGAGTTTTGGACTATAATTTGTCTATAATTTGACAACTCTGTCTGTAGATTTGAGACGGGGACTGGCTGAGTGGGAAGCAAGATCATGATGGGGCAGCCTAACAGGAGATTATTTTGGCTTTACCTGCTTCCCTCACTTCTCCTTCGCATTAGCCTTCTTCTGGCTGAAAGGGAAGCTCACTGGGGTCCTAGAGTTTTCTCCATATTGCACAAGGAGGAGGCTTTGCATCTTAGATTCTATACATGGTGGGGGTAGAGTGTGGCAAAGAACTGAGAATCTGACTCCATAAAAACAGATGTAACAGTTTAAAAGTGAACTTCAGAATGAGGAGCTGCTATTCATGCCCCTCCAACCGGCACTAAAGTTTAGGGGAATCCATTAAAGACACTTCTTCAGTTCCTGTTCACCATGCAGAAGAGAGAACTGTTGGCAGTGCAGCGGAAGATCCACAGGATGTTGAAGCTGTGTATGAAGCTGGAACAGGCCTTGGAGGTCAGTCAGTCTCTTTGTTATTACTTATTATCTCATTTTATTTTACTTTCCAGATGAGTAAGAAGAGGTGAAGCACACAATTACCTCAAGGTGGTGGGACATGAAGAAAGCAGCTGAATGACTTGTGAGTTACACAGTGGTTTATGGTCACTACAGTTGGCCTTTGACCAACTTGTGGGTTAGGGGTGTGGATGCCCACCCACCCAGTTGAAAATCTGGGTGTAACTTTTTACTCTATAGTCAGCCTTCACATATGCAGATGCAACCAGCTTCAAATAGAAAATAGTATTTTCCATCTTCAATTGGGAATCCGTGGTTGGGTAAACAAAAAACAGTTTTCAATCTGTGTTTGGTTGACTCTCCAGATGTGAAACCTAAAAAAACCTTACTATAAATGGACAGGTGCAGTTCAAACCTGCGTTGTTCAAGGGTCAGCTGTGTTTCCAGCCTGAAAGTTGTCGGGTCAGCACAGGTAGCCCTGCTGTGGCCCCTGGGCCCCAGGTCTTGGCTGTAGATTCGTCACCAACATACTTGTTTGCAGTGTTATCGTCCTTCAATCCCTGGTGCATTTCAGAATTGATTAAATCTGATATATTTCTCAACAGTTAGCACAGTTACATAAAGTGATTAGAGAGATAGGTTTGTTACTAAAAGCAAAGAGTAAAGCACGAGAATTTAGCTGTTCAGTTATTGAAATGGGTCCATCTTTAAAAACTTTACCTTTTGGTTTGCTTCTTATCCTTGAGACTCTGTAACTCAGAGCTTGAAGTCTATGTGTGCTTCTGTTTTTCCCTGAAAACAACAACAACAACAACCCCCCCAATTGCTGTGAAAAGTTGCATTGTATATATTATTGCTTAAAAAATTCCATTTTAATATAACTTTTTAAGAGGCTAATGCAGAAAGAAAAAAAATAACCCATAGTCTTATCAAACCTTAGATGTTTAATGTAGGTTCATCTTAGATTTCATTTTCTTTACCCTCACATTAATCTTCATTCATTTATAACCACATTCATTAAAAAATAATTTAAGACATAGTTTTATTTGTATCTGAAGGAATGCTGAGAAGAATGATGAGCATTCATAGTTGTTTATTATGTGCCAGGCATGAACACAAGATCCTTGTGTCTACTAATATAATTAGGAGATAGAAACTTCTACTATCCCCATTACCAATGAAAAAATGGAAGCATCCAGAAATTAAAATAATTAAGTGTAGCAATGTAGATTCCCTTTGGTTGAAAGGCAGAAATCAAAGGCAGCAATGCAAGAATTTGGGTTGTCTAGAGAGTCCAGATGATGAACTACCTAGATGAAGCCCTGGCCATTATTTTAGCCTTAAATGAAGGATTTTGGGCTGAAAGTACAGTGAAAGTGACAACATGGATTTGGACAAAAAATCAGGATATAAGAAACTAACCAATTGAATTCTACCCAAGGAGAATTCAAAAAAGTTTAAAGTGTTAAGAAAATGTACAAGTAAAGGAAACACTCTTCAGTTGAAAAAAAGTATTTCAAATCTTAGAAAGCCTTAGAGTTAGAGACATCAAAAAAGAGTTGATTTTAGAGAGGAGGGAATTTCAGGGGAAAAAGGGGAAGGATTTACAGGAACTAGTATAAAGGACACATGGACAACAACTAAGGGGGGTGGAAATGGGAGGGAAGTGGGAAGCACTGAGGGGGTGGGCTGGAATGGGAGTAAAAGACAGAAAACTGTACTTGAACAACAATTAAATAAAAATAAATAAATAAATATCAACTATACTCACACACAAAAAAGAGTTGATTGAAACCCTCTCTCTGGAGAGTATGCTCCTACACTGAGCGGGTGATGAAGTGTGGGTGGAAAGAGAGTAAGCCATGTGCAGACCGATCTCCCGAGTGCCATGTTCATGAAGGACCATGAAGACAGGACCATGAAGTGCTCTCTCTCTCTCTCTCTCTCTCTCTGTCAATCTCTCCCTCTTTCCCTCCAGTTCTATGGTGGGACTACAATTTGGGTTTGTTCAGCAGCAGACATCTCAGACAAACACATTCTCTTTGTGTCCCTTTGTGTCTTTCTCTGGTAGTATTGGGTTCACCTTCCATCAAACCTGTTGAGGCCATATAAATTAAAGGTATAAAAGAAAACTGGCTCAGCTTACCAGAGATCTCTTTCTTGGAAAATTGGGGTCTTAAGACATACTACTAATATACAGCTACTGGGCTTTTATTTATAATTGTTCTGTCTTGCTCCCCAGTTGTTCCTCCTGGTTTATCTGCACACAAATGTGGGACCTTCTTCTCCACCAGCTGCTGCCTTGCCTGGTCTGCCAGTCTCTACCTCACCCAACCCTGAGCCTCCAGTTGCCTTCCCTCGATTCGAGTCCTCTCCATCCTGGCTGCCCATCTCCACCCGCCCTACCAGTCTGGATGAATATTTCTTCTTTAACCACTTGGTTGTCAGACTTCCATACAGTTTGATTTCCTGGCAGTTCTGGGTATTTTTGTTTTTAAATTTGTTGTTGTTCTTCTTTTGGTTGTGCGAGGAGGCACGGTGTATCTACCTACACCTCCACCTTGACTGGAAGTCGGCTCAGGCTTTTTAGTGTTGAATGAAAATATATCACTGCTGCCAAAAGGGACTAGCACAGCTCTGGGGCTTATCTAAGATCGGCCTGGGACAGGAAAAAATTATTTGAGAGAGTATATTTCAAAAGGAAGCAGGAGAAAAACCAAACATGATGTCTGCTTAGATTACCAAGTCCAACTATTTTTATAAAAGCAGTAAGAAAAAGAGGTTTCACAAAAGCTCAGAGGAGAAAAATCTTAGTCCTGGGTAAGTATAACTGGAGAAATAATCCAGATGGTAAAGATAGGCATAGAGGTAAAATAATAAAGATACTAGGCATTTATGTATAAATTTATTTATGTTGTATTTAAATGTTTATATTCATATTATTTAAACAAATACATTTATATATTTATATATATAATATACAGGGTCTGGCAGAAGTAAGGCTTGCTTTAGTGTAGTTGGTAAGGTAATAATATGGGTCTAATAGTTTATAGCTTTAATTTGAATATTTCATCTAAAATGTCATGTGGTGTGCTTGAGTGTGATATTGTTATATTACAGAATTACATGCTTATGATTTTGTATTAAAAGATTTGTAATAAAAAGGGGGTATTATTTGTGCTGGACCCTGTGTAATATATTATACATGTAAAGCAAAGTGACAGAAATACTCAGAGGAAATGAAAAGGAAACAAAATTTATGCAAATATGTTTTAACTCCAGAGGAAAAAATCCTGCCACCTGCACAGTGCCAGGTAAACTTAGTAGCAGTATTTTATATGATATGATGCTAGGGAATGAATAAAAGAAATAAAGCGTACAAAAGACACATAAGTAGAACTGGAGAAGGAGGGGAAAAAGAAGAGAAGCAAAGAAGAGGAAGAAAAGGAGGAATGCACTAGAATGAAAAATTGCGGAATCCGGTTCTGAGAATAGACAGTCATTCATGATCTTTATCCTTTGCTGCACCCAGTGTGCTGTATGCCCTGGTTAAGTATGGTTTAAATAACTGCATTTCCCAGGCTTACATCTGATGTGATACCAGGACTCTATCTTCTGTTTAGTTGATTTAAGTTCTTTCTGCCTGTTTCTCCTTATTCTGTCAAGGGCTGTGTTCATTAGTTACAACAAACCTTTCTAATGCTGTTTCCTGCTTCCCAATTTCCCACATGGCTTTTCTCTGGCCACATACCTCTGGGCTGCATTCAGGTTCCAGCTCCTTTTCTTGCCAAAGGGTCTCAGGTTGACAAGAAGGCCAATGGGGAATTTGAATTTCCCTTCTTATTTGAGGAAATTAATGACTTTGAATGAAAACATGGAGGGTAAGCAGGCAGACAGCTATTTGTTAGCCATAATTATTTTTTCTTTCTTTCATAGGAATAGAGTTGCAGATAGACTCATGGCTGCCTGGCTAGAGATTATATTTCTCAGCCTCACTTACAACTAGCTCTGGCTATGTGACTACGTTTGGCTAATGGATACGAGCAGAAGACTCTGGGCCTTTCCATGAAAAGAAGTAGATGGGTGACTTCCCTTCCAATTTCTCCTCTGCCCACTGGTGGGGTAACAATGGCAGCCAGGTCAGCTTTCTAGAGAGGGAAACCATATGTTAAGAAAGGCAGATTCTTACTACCACTTCTGGACTGTTAGATGAAAGAGAAGCAAATGATGTGATTTAAGCCACAGTATTTTAGGTTCTCTTTGTTACAATGATTCAGCCTATACTCTAAGCAATTCATTAATTATGAAACCCACAGAAGATTTCGGGGCTATGGCAAACAGAGGGTCCAGCAGAAAGACCAGGTCTGTAGTAAGCTCACAAGTGTGAATCTCCACTTTTATTCTTACCTTTTAGAAAATTATTAATTTTATCTATGTGTCTTCTCTTTTCTCCTTTAAACAGAAAAGAAAATAATCATTTAGGATTATAAACAGAGCTTATATATCTATATCTATCTATCATCTATCATCTATCTTTATATATATAAAGCTTTATATATCAGTAAACTTCAAGTATTTTATTTTTGTTTTCATTCAACTTTTTGTGGGGCTAAATTCCCAGCTACCAATGCCCCCTCTTGGTTGTTACCACACTGAAAACAACAACAGCAATAAAGACAACCTACCTTTACACAGTACCAGTTATCGACAGTGTGCCTTTATTAGTACATATTCACATGAGGTTTTCTCATCCAAGATAAGGAAAATATAAAAAGCAGCTGAAGTCAGGCAGAAGCTGACAGCAAATGAGTGTCAGGGAGATCAAGGAACAATAGTTCTCAGACACCCTGTGTTTCACAGGCTTGCTTTGAATGCTGGCAGAGGCTGGTTCATGAGGTTTAAGGAAAGAAGCCACCTCCATAACATCAAAGTGCAAGGTGAAGCTGAAAGTACTGATTCAGAAGCTGCAGGAAGTTATCTGAAGATCTAGCTAAGATAACTAATGAAGGTGGCTACACTAAACAACAGATTTTCAATGTAGAAAAAAACAGCTCTATACTGACAGAAGATTCCATGTAGGGCTTTCATAGCTAGAGAAGAGAAGTCAGTGCAGGCTTTGAAGAGGGGTGTCCAACCTTTTGGCATCTCTGGGCCACAATGGAAGAAGATAAATTGTCTTGGGCCATATATTAAATCCATTGCAACATGTAATCATAACAATAATCTCATAATATTTTAGGTAAATTTATAATTTTGTGTTGGACCACCTTCATAGTCATTGAGGGCTGCATGCAGTCCTTGGGCTGCAGGTTGGACACCCCTGTGGCTTCAAAGGATAGATTGACTTTCCTGTGAGAGACTAATGCAGCTGTGACTTTAGGCTGAAGCAAGTGCTCATTTACATTCTGAAAATGCCATTGCCCTTAAGAATTACACTACATCTACTCAGCCTGTGCTCTATAGATGCAACAACATAGCCTGGTTGACAGCACATCTTGTTTACAACGTGGTTTACTGAACATTTAAAGCCCACTGTTGAGGACTGCTGCCAGAAAAAATATTCCATTTAAAATATTACTGCCCATTGACAATGCACTTGGTCACCCAAGAACTCAGATGAAGATATACAATGATATTAATGTTGCTTTCATGCGTGCTAAGGCAATATCCATTTAGCAGCCCATGGGTCGAGGAGTAATTTTGACTTTCAAGTTTTACTACATAAGAAATACATTTCATAAGAATACAGCTGTCATGCATAGCTATTCTTCTGATGTATCTGAGAAAAGTAAATGGAAAATCTTTTGGAAAGGATTCACCATTATAGATGCCATTAAGAACATTCTTGATTCATAGAAAGAGGTCAAAATACCAACATTCCCTAGAATTTGGAGGAAGTTGACTCCAACTATCCTGGATGACTTTGAGGGCTCAAGAATTTAGTGAAGAAAGTAGTTGCAGATGTGGTGGAAATAGCAAGAAAACTAGAAAATGGAATTGGAGCCTGAAGATGTGACTGAATTGTTGTAATCTCATGATAAAACTTTAACAAATGAGGAGCTGCTTCTTTTGGATGAGCAAAGAAAGTGGTTTCTTGAGATGGAATCTACACATGGTGAAGAAGCGGTGAGGATTGTTGAATTACAACAAAAGGTTTAGAATATTACATAAAATTAGTTGACAAAACAGTGGCAAGGATTGAGATCATTGAATGCAATTTTGAAAGAAACTCTACTGTGGGTAAAATGGTATCAAACAACACCACATGCCCCAGAGAAATCATTTATGAAAGGAAGTCACAATAAATACAGCAAACTTCATTTAAAAAAATTGCTGCAGTCACCCCAGCCTTCAGCAACCATCCCCCTAATCAGTCAGAGGCCACCAACACTGAGGCAAGACCTTCCACCAGCAAAAGAATTATGACTCCCTGAAGGCTCAGATAATGGTTAGCACTTTTTAACAATGAAATATTCTTTAATTAAGATATATACATTGTTTTTTTAGATAATGACATTGCATACTTTAAATAGACTACACTATAGTCTAAACACCTTTTATATGCATTGGGAAACAAAAAAATTTGTGTGACTCAGTTTATTGCAATTTTGCTTCATTACAGTGGTCTGGAACCAAATTTGCAATATTTCTGATGTATGCTTGTAGTACATTTTTTCTTAACTAATTTAGCAAACTCTGTATTTTTTGCCATATGTCCACTGAAGTCTCTGTTTAGTTAGTCAGCTAATGATTGGAAAGAAATTTTCTTAAGTATCTAGAACTAATAGCTCTCCTAGCCTTTGTCAGTGGGGCTCTGTGCAAGTGTTGGTGCATGCCTTCAACACACAGCTAGGCAGTTTACACCTCTACCTTCTATCTCAATTCCTACTCGCACAGAGCCTCAAGGCTAGCCAAGAGTGAGAGCTCAGGGCTTTCTTAGGTCTTTCCTGAGTGTGAATAGATCTGGGTATGTATATTTTCCTAGAAATTTATGTGGCCACCTGGATGGTCAGGAATACATTGGAGTTTTATATATAGATGTATATCTTCAATATATTGCATGCAATATACATTTATATGTATATGGCTTTATTTATATATTTATTTTATATATAAATATTTCATACAATATATTTATATAGAATTTATAATTATATTTCTTATGTTTTATAATTAAATAAATACATCATGCTATTTATTTTCTGTACCTTGATAAAATAAGTAGCATAGACAGTAGGTAGAAAATAGATAGGGGGAGGGCAAGAATAGTATGGGAAATACAGAATCTAAAGAATTTGAGACATGTGGTCATGAACTAAAGGGGGGGGAATGGTGGGGGAGAGGGTGTGGAGGGGAATGAAGGGGGGAAATAGAACACTTGTAATGGCATAATCAATAAAATATATTAAAAATAAATACATCAATATATTTATAGATATGATTTAACAGTGTTGAACTGAGAAATTTCATAAGAAGATAAGTCTTGTAAAATATGGAGCTGTGTCTATTTGTAACCATCACCATTTGTTCTGTTCTCTGTTAATATAAATTTGTCCATGGCAGAGTTCTTTGAAGGGGTCTTGTAATACTCCCTCAAATTAGAAATTATTCCTACCTAAGACAGTTAATTCTAATTGGTTGTCTTGATAATTTTGGGGACTGGCCATACTATTTTTATGTGATACCTGGATCCCTAAACTGTATACATGCTTGTAAGATTTCATATTAAATCAGAAAAAGATCCTTGGCATTCTGATTTCCTCATATAAGTAGGCAATAAAATGGCCATAAATTTTCTATTAAAATAAAAATTTTGAGAGTCTTGTTTCATTTAAATTCCCTCCAGCTATTCTGTAATGGGAAAACAAGACATTCATAATAAGAAACAGATTTGTACAACATATAATTTAAAAAAAAAAAGAATGAGAAAATTCTTAGTGGAAGAATGCTAAATAACAGATGAATAAATGGGTAGAAGTCTCTGTCCTCTCCAAGTTAAACTGCAGATTCAATTAATTTCTGTGCAAAGATCTCAACTTGGGAAGGAGATGGGAGAAACTTTTTTGAGTTGATTCTAAAATTCATTCCTAATGAGTCATCAGGATGGTGGTACCTCTGAGATCAACTTTCTTTTCTGTAGAACCTTCCACCACAAAACAAAAACTAGTAGATAGACAGGTAAAGGCATGATGTGATCAAAGAGGTATTCCAAGCATGATGTAGTAATGGAGGGAATATTTTCATGATTCCCACTTCACATATACACAAAGAAGCAAAGCTCAGGGATTATAGATGTAGACATTAAAAATAATCAGATACTTAAAATATAGACATATCAAATATAGAATAATATTTAAAAACTCTTCAGCTAGAGATGGCTATTGTAAATATGATAGGAAACCCAAGAATTAGAGAGAAAAAGGTGACAATTTGACTACCTATATATTTATAACTTCTCTAGGACAAAAGATTACATTAATAAATCAAAAAATAAAAACAACAAATTGGACAACATACTAGCAACATATATGACCATACATAAGAATTTCTAAAAAAAGTCTCTGTATTCATCCAGCATCATAAGAAGACAAGCATTGTAACAGTAAACATGGACACAGTATTCTGTGACAAAGGGTTCTATGAAGAACAACAAATGACCAAAACAAATAAAAAACACTCAACCACACTAAAATGAAAGTAGTTCATGTTAAAGCAGCCTTAAATTAGACTTTTTGTAACTCTTAAAATATTAAATGTTTTTATTATCTAGGTGTGGTGCATTAATTTTAAAAAGCAAGGAAAGGAAAAGTATACATACAATTAACCTAGTCAGATAAATAAAACTATATTCCAAAATGTACTCATCCATGAATAGAAAAATTCTGGAAAGATAAACACCAATGTTTATAAGCCACATATACTTTAAATTCAGAATGAAAACCAACATAAAGATATGAGCATTTTGAAAAACGTAGTTACTTTGAAAGGCATTTTTTTTGTCTTATGAAAGGCATGGAAAATAGTTATAATAAACTTTAGCATTAAAAAACAGTTAATCTGTGTCATAAAAATCAAATAAATTCTTATTCACTCTTACTTCTTTTTCCACTGTGTTTTTCCAAAGTAGAATTTTTTCCAATATCCATGATATCTGGAAAGTAACAGGTTGTGGTCAGAAAAAAAATTTATATATAAAAGTTACAAACCTTATGACAATTCACATTGTGGAAGACTGGAGTTTATAATGATGTCTAATTATCTAAATGATATTAAACAGCCCTAGCTGGATAGCTCAGTTGGTAGAGTGTCACCCTGATACCCCTAGGTTGCAGATTCCATCCCCAGCCAGGGCACATATAAGAATCGACCAAGGAATGCATACATAAGTGGAACAATAAATTGATGTCTCTCCCTTTCTCTCAAAAAAAAAAATTAAATGAATCAGGTACATATTGATATCTAAAGTCTTTATTTCGAGGCTTTGAAAAAACTCTTTGTTACTTATGTGTGTCAGTTTTCCTGATTCATGAAACAGGTTGGTAGTAAAAGTTATCCTGGTTAGGCTTTAGATTGCTTAGTGACAATTAAATAAGATCTTAGTTGAAAAGTTAATGAGAAATCACTATACAGTGTGTTTCTAAAACAATAAAATATTATTTTATGTCTGGCTCCAGAGGCTTTGAATAAAAGGATTTGGATCTTTGCTAGGAGACCAAGCTGTAAGTTCTGCCTCTTTACTAACTTAGCATCTATCAGTAGATGCTGGAGGGCAGCCTTCAAAACTATATGTTGAGTTTAAGAACAGGTATCTGAGGTCTTTTTCCTGACAGGTAGCAGGACCATTTATTTGCCTTTTGAGGTCCTTTCAGGGTTGTGACACTATTATTTTCCAACAGAACACATGGATTTCTTTGCTACATGAACAAAGGTGTAAGTCACTATATAAATCCAAAGATTGATATGCTCATATAGTATACAAGATATTGCCATTTTTTAATCAGTGTATTTGTACTACACCATCCGCATACAATCAACAGGATCCATTCTGTTAAACATGACTATAATCATGATCTCCTGCCTTCCTGCTGTTCCCAAAAGGGCCAGGTCAAGCAAATGTGGAAAACGAGATTCTGATGGACTGGATCCCTTCCTTACCAATGTGTGCTCAGAGTCAAGTGCAGCAGAAAACAGAAACTCTGATTTCAGACTCCTGACATCCTGCAGCCTGGGTCCTGTGACTCTCACCTTCATAACTGATGTACTCCCTGTTGGTGAACTGCTTCATCTATCTGGGTCCTTGAATGCTGATCATCTATCACTGACATCCTAAGTGTCTGTGGTGTCTGCTGAATCACCTCTACCCCAAGACCCTTGGGTAGCTTTACCCATATCAGATGCTTGGCTATTTTCAGTCCTTGCTTCTTGGCTTCTTGGAACACCTTTTGATAAACACATGACACGGGAACTCTTCTCATTTCCAAGTCCTTGGAGCTCTGCTCCTATGTTGTGATTTGTAAAGAATTTTAATTTGCAATTTTATTTTGTACCCCTTCCCTCCAATATCCTTCCCCCAGTACCTGTACTTCAAAAGATGGCTCAGCCTCTGAAATCTCTTAGTTTGTTGTTGCTCCTCATCATCTCTGCCTCTTCCTTTCAATCTGTTTTTTCTCTATTATCTTTTTCTCTTTGCCCCAACCTGCATCTTTGTTTTTCTATTTTTCCTTTATATGCTTCTCCCATCTATCCCTTAATGGTGTTTTTAACAAAAATTTGTATTTATTTTTATGTGATGCTTTTCTTTTCCTGAAATACTGTTACATTCATAGGTCCATACATACATATATATAATTATTAAAAATTTTGGTAAATATTTCATATAAATAAACGAGCTTTTGCCAGACAAATTTCCAAATGTTGGAATACAGAGAATGACTGATTCTTTCCATTCACTTAACAAGTTTGTTAAGCTTCTCTCATGTTCCAGGTGCTGAGATGGATGCTGATGCCCAATGTAGGGCAGATGAATGCTGATAACAATGTAGGACATACTGAAGCATCAATGCTTGTCAACCTTAAGAGCAACCATGACATTGACACATAAAGAAGTGAATACATTGAAACTTGAATGTCAGAACACAGATCACACAGAATAGTCTGGAGTGGGGTTAAGGCAGGAAGAACTAGCTTCACTTGAGATGAGGCACCTTTTCCAAAGGATGTGTCATGGAAGCAGGAGTTAGCTAGATCAGGGAGGAAAGGGACCAAGACAATAGCCCCAAATGGATGGAGAAGCATGTGCAAAGGTCTACATTCCACAAATGTAAGGAGTTTCAGATGCCTGAATTGCAATAGGGAAGTTAATGGTGACAGTGATGATGGAGAAAGAGGCAGGAGCCTCAAGGTAGGTGGCTTTGAGGGCCACAAAGAGAAATAACTTAATCCTAAAGGAAAGTAAAGGACATTGGATTTTATGTAGGATAGCAGCATGGATATATTTGAGAGAGATCACTGTAGCTCAGTCACTTAGAATATATTTGGTGGGACCAAGATTAGAAGCAGGAGGACAAGGAGCAGCTTGTAGATCTAGTTCCAGAGAGAAGGAAGGTAGATATTGATTAGTGACAGCATGGCGATGGACAGGGTGGAGGCATTTGAAAGGAGGAATTCGTAGAGTTAGGTTACAGAGGGCTATGTTAATTCAGGAGATGGTGATGTCACTGATGACTCTGAGGATATGAACTCGAAAGAATAGGCAAATTAATAGTGTGTTCTAGAGCTAGAGAACAGGAAGCAGCTGCTGGTTTTACGGAAAAACTGATGTGCTCAGTTTCAGAAGTGTTGAGTTTCATATTGAAAGACATCTAAGTGGTGAAGGCTGGGGTCTTTAGGACCTTGACCAGAGGTCTTTCTGAAACCTGGACGAGTGAGTTTGGAAGCTTAGAAGACAGGGCTGGTCTGGAGATGTATGTTTAGGAACCATTAAGTTGTGGATGGTGATTGAAGCTTTAAGAGTGAATGAAATGCCTGGTGAGGTCTCTAGTAATCTGGGTGAGTTCCAGGGGCCGCTTTAATACCTGGGGACACCTTACTCTGAAAACTCATTGCTAGTGTGAATCATCTCATGTGTAAATGTTGCTTTTGCCTCATGGTCATCTCAGATCCCACAATTTCTCCATCTCCCTCCTCTCTCCCTTTGACACTGGCCCTTCTTCTCTACCATTTTTCTGTCATATGAAACCCTTTCTCTACACAGTTCTTATTGTGCCTTATCTAATTCCTCTCCACTTATCACCCACAGTAAGTACCTCATTCCCATCTACTTTTTTATCTTCTATCTCAGGATCTGGTTTTATTATTGAAGTAATCTTCATTCCATGGTCAGTTCCCTTCTGTTTCTCTCTACTTCTAGTTTACGTCTCTCAATCTTATCTTGATCTTCTGGCTGTTTTTACAATGGCAACCTTTGTCTTTATATTTTCTTCATCTATGTTTGGCTTCATCTCACAGATTATTACTTTCATTGTCACCATCTGCCTGATCTTTTGACACGGACCACATTACTGACCTCTATTTCTTCAGCTAGTTTCCTATGCGCTTTCTATATTGCAGGTCTGTCAGTCAGTCTTGGACTTTATTACCATATTTCTGCTGAACTTCTGAGACATACCTTGAAAATCATTCCTCTTCCCTCACAGAAGCCTCATCTGATGATATTTGGATTTCATGTTCACTTAGAAAAACTTGACGCTTCCTTAGGTTCCTTTTTTATTTGATGAACTCCAGCCCATTTTTTCTACTCTTCCTTCCTCAATTATTTACTCAGTGTCACCCCCACTCAGGAGTCCTGTCCTTCTTTCTCTCCAGCTCCCTTAAATCAGATGATGTGATCCTACTCTGTGCCCAAGTCTGTCTGTAAATGAGTGTGTGCTCATGTGCAGTAATGATTTTGGGGAGAGGTAGGGAAAAGATGAAAGAACTTTGCCTCTGTGCAGACAGGGAAACAAAGGTAACTAACTGATAAGCAGTATTGCATTTGGCTTTTTCACATGCTCACTCGCTGGCGTCTCATCTGACTTTCTTCCTCTATTCCTATGAAGAGCTTTGAATCCACAGGACACTGAAGGCAAGTAAGAAAATGACACACAACAGATGGAGAGCAGGAAGCACACTACAATGTAGTCACGCTGAATTATCTTGACAGCCCAGATGAACTAAGGAGAAGTACGCCTACTCCAACAACTACCTCACACACAGCACGTAGTTGTCTTTCTATCTAGTCATACCTCATTCTCTTCTTATTTCTCAGTTTTTTGCTCATTGCTCTGACTTACACATTTTTTAGCTCCATCATGTTGATTCTGTGAGCTTCTCTGTCTTTGGTGTCTGTTTCTCTTTCTTTTAAATCAACAACATTGTTAATCTCGGCTCATTTTTTAGTTCTCCGTCTGTTCTTTTTAGCTTATTTTTCTAGATGGTTTATATATCATATGACTGGCTCTATTCCTGCCTCTTTGTTTCTTTATAATTTTCATTTCACCTCTCCAACAATATATATATATTTCAATATCCATGCCAATATTGATTGTTATATACCTACCTATAAATACATATATATGTGTGTGTGTATATATATATAGATATATACTCACAAACACCCGTATTTATTTATTCATTTATTGTGGTTGTTAAATAAGTTTTCTTGTATCAGACACTCATACATTCCCCTGTGAATTGCCCCTCGTATCCCTGTAGATCCCCTGTACTTCCGCTTTGGACTTTGATCATGTGACAGAACTCTTATCTTCCTACCCGTTACATGTAAAACCCACCCTTTTTAAACATCATAAAACTTGTACATCAATTTCCTCACCCCAAAAAGGGGATATCAAGAGTTTGCCTGCCTAAATCTTAAGGATTTTGTGAAGACAGAGTAAGATCTTGTTTGCCAAAGTACTTTAAAATAACATGATATAATCCAATTACAATGTGATAGAAATCTGTCAAAAACTATACTAAAGTTTGAGAGTGATCTGAAGCGTTTATTTCTGTCTATAATTACATAGCAGAACCAGTTCTCTATTATGATTTTACAATTGAAAATGATATTGGTGTCAATCGATACATTACTATTAAATGTCTAAGACCTTAATGTAAGCAGGCATAAGAGAAAATATTAAAAAAAGATGTCATCATCTTGGGAATGATTTCTTCTACAACAGAGGTATACAATTACATACATTTAGTCGATGGGACTCATTTCATTAAACATGAATTTATATAATTTCCTGTCTCCTTCCATTTTCTAGAATGCTGAAAGGAGTTCCCAGGAATAACTGGGCATAATGTCTTCAAGGTGCTCAGAATAAAAATGTATCTGGAAACAGTTTTTAATTCAGATTCCTGACATTCGCAGGCCAAGGCTTGGCATCTTAATCTTCTTTACCTGACCAACTTCTTAGAGCTGAGCTAAAAGTTTCCTGAGGCTCTTCTTCACTACTCAGTTTTGAAGAGTGCTCAGTGCTGATCCCTGCAGAAAGAAAGAAAGGTCCATAGCAGTATCCCTCTGTATCCTAGGAACCAACCCAGCACAGAATCTTCAATAGGAATCGGAAGAGGGGAGCTTGTGCAGGAGGGGTAAGAATATTGTTACTGCTGGCCCACCCTATGGCTCCATCTGACCTGTTGGTCTAGGTGGCTCCAGGAACCACCCCCAAGGACAGGGGACAACTTTGTCATGGAAGGCACTCCCTTTTGCCACCATTTTTTACACCTTTTCCACTTGTCTGCACGTACTTCTTCTGCCTCTACTCTGTTTCTTACCCAGGGGAACCATGGAAGAAATATTTTCAATATGTCAAATCCTCCATCAGCTGGGCCCTCAAAGATCATATGGAGCAAAGCACCCCTCCACCCCAAAACTACTTTATCCTTTGTGTGAATGAAGAATAAACTTGTATTGCTCTTGTGTCATTGAAATTTTATACCAATTAGCCAGCCCACCCAATGCAAAAAGTATAATGTGTATCATCTAAAAATCTCAACAAATTACTTTTTTAAGGGGTATAACCAAAAAATTGACTGAAGCTTTTGTAGCAAAGAAAGCTATTTGTTACATCAAGAGTTTTCATTGTTCTTACGTCTTTTCTTATTGCTCATCTCACAAGTAGACTGGTTTCCAAAATCCAGAAAATCTAGGAGATAAAGGTAAAAACAATCAGTAATCTGTAACAAAAGCAGTTATATCTTATGACTCCTCACAATGTAGAAGAATTTGGAACATAAAGATGTGGTGGTGATTATTTCTGCCTCTTCCCATCTAAAGGAAACAGATCATTATCAAATGAAGACCCACAATCCTTTAGCCCATATGCAGAATCAAGGAAGTTTTGAAAACCGACATTTTTCATAGATTCGCAGATAACAAATTTGGCAGTGAATCTGGACTTAGCTGCCATGAGTCTATGTGAACTTTTTATTTATCACACTTGTGAATTGTCTCAATTTGCTAAAGGAATATTAATATCTTATAGTATATTATGAACTGGATTTTGCCCCAGAAGCTATTAGGGTGTTTTGTAATACATAGGATATATACTGCAGTGTCTTTCTAAAATAATAAAATATTATGTTACCTCTGGCTTCCGAGGCTTTGAATAAAAGGTTTTGGATGTTTGCTAGGAGTCCAAGCTGTATGTTTTGCCTCTTCTACTAACTTAGCATGTGTGATCTATAAAAGATTATTCTATGTTTATTTATGGGAGTTTCCCATCTGTGGAATGAGGGGAACAACAGTCATCTGACCTACCTTCTAGAAAAGTTGTTGTAGATGTAGAATAATATATATTTTTTTGTAAAACCATTTTGGAATATTACTATATAGGCAAATTTCACATTGGGGGTCATCTGTCAAAGGCTATAAATGAAATTTTATGGTAATAACCAGAAGCTTTTCCTTCGGTCAGTAATGAGAGAGTATGACAAAACTCTGGAGGTTTGAAGAGGGTTGTGACAAAGCTGACCCACAGTTGGCTGTCCCACTTTCTCTGCTCTCTACAGAACAGGTGGTGAGCAAATGGACATCACTAAGTGACCCACCGCCCCAGGGGATGACATGTCCCTGAGCACGTGGTAAGGTGCTCTGCCGCCCAACTAGAGGCATCTTAAGAATGAACTACATTGACTTTGTTTGCAGTTTTCAACGTGGCCACATGAAATCAAGGCAGGAATGGGCTCCCAGGCGGGGCGCTGTGCTCGGAGGAAGAGGAGGAGCTCTGATCTCAGACTCCTGTGCATGGAGCCCAGCGATGGCCGTCCTTACCCTCCTCATCAGAATCACTTCTCAGTGCGGGGCTCCACACTCTGGGGGGCGCCTCATCCGCGCTGGACCCCGAAAATCCTTCATGACTTCTCTCTGCAGGAGGAGCAGATGTCCCTTGAAGGTCTCAGTGTGTGACAAAGAAACCACCACCACCACCACCAACAAAAATGTGGGAAGCTCTGAAAACCCAGGGCTAGAATGTCCCTCCCTCAGACCTCCATGATCTGCCTTTTGTATTCATGTGACCTGAAGGTCAGTGTTTTATCACTCACTGTCCCCTGAGCCTGGGGCAGAGATATTTCACCCCTGGTGGGCATCTCTGCTTCCTCTTGGCCCTCTGTTTTCCCAGATTCTCTTTCTCCTTTTTCTTGTCTCTTTATGGATCTGTTGTTATTTTTGCATCTGCATTCACATTTATTTTTAGCTCTGCTCCTCTCCTAGAGCTGTCTTGGAAAACTGATATTAAAGAAGGCAGATTTCCCACTTGGCTGCTTCCCAGAATAACTTTGTGAAACAGAGCCGCGCCCTTCCACCCTCTTGTATTCCTAGGAATGTTTACTTGAGAAAAATCAGTATTCTATTGTGTTTGAGTCTTTGACCTCTTTGTGTTTATGTTACAGCCATTAGCTTAACTTACACAAAAGTTAAAATCCAAACTGGCTAAAATTAAAGCAGATTTGTATTTTACTTTGAAGGACTTTTTAAAAAGTTGGAATGGCTAGTTTTTAGAAAACACTTTTCACTTATAACTATGAAGAGTTCTTAGGTGCTCCTACCACTTTCCCAAAGTCTTTTTCTGCATATAGGTGATTTTCTGAAATCCACGGGCTCTGTAAAGTAGGAGGGAAGAAACATCTATTTGTATACAACAATCTTACAAATTCTATATTAAATCACACAGCAGATAGGGTTTGTAATAATTTCAATCCTGAGATGAGCATTTTTCTCTTTCTTTCAACTGAACCCAGTTCTGGTGCCCAGGGTCATAATACTGGTTCCTGCCCAGCTCTCTCATTTATTCTCCATGTGAATTTGTAAATGACCTTCAAATGTGATTATCTCCCGTGTCCTCATCTATAATGCTGGAATAACCTGGGTACCCTATTTCCCTGTTAAGGTTTTTGTGAAAACAAAATGGACCTTTATTCATAAAAGCCCCATGAACAACCAAAATGCAAGCTCACAGTTTAACTATGGTTTGAGTCTGAGAGTAGTGGGGCTGAAGCTATTTCTTTGTTAATGATTAAATAGCAGCACAAATTATTCCTTGAAGACTTTTGAAGGTGGAGACTAATAACAATATTGTCAGCAAATACAGAATACTGTGCTTACTATGCTCTGTAGAATATAAAGCAAATTGCTGAAAAATAAGTATATTATTTCAACTCTTTAGTATTAACAGATAAGATAGTGCATAGTAAAAAGTATAATTTTACTAGAATATTTTTGCTATGCTTTCAACATATTAATCGATTGGGCTCACCTAGTTAAACAATAGTCATAATGCCATTTCCCAATAGAGGAAGAGAAGTGAAATGCAGAAAATAATGCCCTAGAAGTAACTAAATCAGTCTATATGGGGAATGTCAGAATAAGATTCATCAGGAAACAGCGCTCTGGGTTTAAACTCTAGATATTTTTCATACAGGAATGCAGTTCTAACACTCTTATATGGTGCAGTCTTGGTTGCTGAGCTGGTGGCTTCTTGGGTGTCTCCTTCACTTGATTCTAAGGAGTCAAGGTTATCCATCACTGCACAAAGAAATAGCATTCTTTAGGTGTCTCAGTGTGTGACCACGGAAACAATTCAACAGGAAATTCCCTAACAAAACTTGGCAAAATCTTGAAAGCCCATGTATATCACAGTCTGCACATAGGCCACCTGGTCTGTTCTTCTAAGCCACCTGCCTTGCGGGTTAGCAATGTTCCATTTCCTGTCTCCAGAGCAGAGACAAGTCACTGCTCTGTTTGAAACTTACTTCCCTACACTTCTCCCTCTTCCTCCTCCTACCCCTTCTATTGTCATTTCACACTTCTTTCATCTGCTGTTTCTCATGTGAGACCTTGAAAATCTTATGTTGAAAGTAGAGATCCTCCTCTCCACACTTGGGTGCCCTTTGAACTGTTTGTAAGGCTGGGAAATAATCTTCTCTTGTGTCTGAGACATAGACCTACGTTGAGACCACCTTTTACAGCAGTTTGCCTACACTAAGACAAAAATGAGAGAGTACAGTTTTGAAAAAGTGATGTAAGTTTACATTTTACTTTGAAAGCTCTATTAGAGCAACTAGAATAAACATATTATTTAAAATATTGGCCTTTGCTCTGGCTGGGTGGCTTAGATGGTTGGAGCATCATCCCATGAACCAAAAGCTGTGGGTTTGATTCCTGGTCAGGGCACTTACCTAGACTGTGGGTTTGATTCCCAGTTGTGCATACAGGAGGCAACTGATCGATGTTTCTCACATCAGTGTTTCTGTCTTTCTCTTTATTCCTTCCTCTCTCTGTAGAACCAATAAAAATATCTTTGGGTGAGGATTAAAAATAAAAATAATACAAAATAAAATAATATATTTGACTGGAACATGAAGATCAGGTAATAAATAAACAATTCATTACCTGAATGAATAAAACAACTCATTTTATTTATTCTTAGGTCTTTTCCTAGCATGTTTTTGTAAATAGGCATGTTTCTAGTATCCTCTGAGAGAGTAGGAAGAGAAAAACCAATCACCATTCTGTACACTGGGGAGCTGCAGATCTTACAACTCATGCTGCACATGGGATTGAGGAAACATCATTTTGTTAACTGTTTTGAGCTCCAGTTTTGCAAGGGAAATAATGCAGAATCTGGGACCTTTGTCTTTCCCTTTATCTCCATGAGACTTTGTAAATGACCATGAAAGACATGTGATTGTGTTTTGTTGTCTAGAAACAAGGATAACAATATCCATCCTGCTTATCCCCCTAGGTTGTTATAAAGAAAACAGTAAGATACTTTTTGCAAAAGTCCTTTGAAAAATTACTACATATGTCATGACTTGCTGAAGAACTCTGTTAAATCTTTATTTCTGCTAACACCATAGAGCTGGATGAATTGTCTTCAGACATGTTTCAAAAGTTGTGGCCAGATGACAATATAACCTTCCAATAAAGAGATATTAGGTTTCCAGCCCTGGTTGGTGTAGCTAAGTGGATTGAGCGTGGGCCTGTGAAGCAAAGGGTCACTGGTTCGATTCCCAGTCAGGGCACATGCCTGGGTTGCAGGCCAGGTCCCCAGTAGGGGACGCATGAGAGGCAACCATACATTGATGTTTCTCTTCCACTCTTTCTCCTTCCCTTCCCCTCTCTCTAAAAAATAAATAAATAAAATATTAAAAAAGAGATTAGGTTTCTGTTCTCTATAGAAATTACTGTAGAAATTCAATACTTTACAGGCATAGCAACTAATTAGTTTAAAAAAAACTCATCACTTTGCTAGCATATTCCTACTATACAATCAATATAAGGTATGTATGTTGACTAACAGGACCCATCAATCCTCATTTTTGATGAGATGTCATCCTAAAAAATGTATATATGTTTATTTAATAATTATGTATACACTTATTTCTTATCTTTTTACAGTTCCCCAAAAAGTCAAGGAAAATAAATGTAAAAAATGGAATTTCAGGATAAACTGGATCCATGATGCAGAATGAACTCAGAAGCCTCAGGAAAGAGAATTTCTTAATTCAGGTTCCTGCAGCCCAAGCCTTGAGCTCCCATCTCCTTACCAGGTTCCCTTGCTGCTGCTGAGGTGGAAGCTTCCGGAGGCTCGTCTCCATCACTGAATTCTGTGGAGTCATCACTGCTGATCACTGCACAGAGGACAAAACCCCTCAGGATCTCATGGTGGCCCAACGAGCCCACAGACAGTAAACCTCATAACAAGGAGGACCTAAAAACGAAATTAACTCAGGTCTCCCAGGTCTGTGCCCTAACATGCCTGGCCTGCAGGTTGCTTCAGGTCCTACACAGAAGGTGGTGACATTCAGGCACAGAGGGCAGTGGTGCCCATCCTGCAACTCTTCTTACCCACAGTCACCCTATCTCCTACTTCCATCCTTACTCTACTTCCGATCCCTACCCCCATTCTACTTCAACTCATGTCTTCATCTACCTCTTACCTCCACCTTCAACTACCTCTTACCTCCACCCTCAGTCTACCTGTTATCTCCACGTTCATTCTACCTCTTTTTGCATCCTCTGTTTACTTTTTCACTTTCCTCTCGGCTCAGCTCATTTTCCCTAATTAAGCCTGTCTTTGTGATGATGGTATCACTTTATATGTCTCTTTCTCTTCATGAGTTTCTTTCTCTATCTCCTCTCAGAAATATTTTGGCTCTAATTTTTGTTCTTAAAATCTTATTTTCTCTTTTATTCATCTTCTACCACTACACTTTACTCTCTTGCTTTAGAAATAGTCTCTCAGATATCAATAATTATTCATGCAATTTCTGTCTTTTGGTATTTTTCCAGTTTCTGGGAACTCTCTTCTGCTAAATTCACAGCTAAGGTGCTGGTTCCCCCTTCTCCTGCCCCCATGCTGCAAGGTCCCCTGGATCTCTTTCGTGGACCCTGATGACATGTCCTAGACCCTTGCCCAGTATCTGGGATTCACATCACACATTCTTTCAGTCAGTCTTACCTATTACGTCAAGTGCGGAGTTACACTTAGTCCTCGTTTGGGTTTGCTTTTCAAGTCCTGAATTAAAAAATGGCTTTTCCTTCTTTATATCCACCAGATATACAGAACAGGAATTTAGTTGGATTCTATGGTTGGGTAACTCTGCTCCTGGACCAAATTGCAAGAAATGAAGAATTTAATTTGTCTCCCACAAGGGAGTGAGGACCCTCATTAGAATTAAATCCTTTTCCCTATAATCCCACTGCAGGGAGAGCTCCCCCACCCTCTACTTCCTGCTGCTCAGATCTGTCCTTCCTTTGTGTCTCTCTGAACTGTTTTTTAGTTTTTACTTTCTTTTTCATATACTTTTGTTCTTCTTAGATGATATTTTGGGGGGATTTTTAAGAAATAAAAATTATATTTGCAGTAAAACATACATGGATAAAATGGGTAACCATAAATTTTGAATTATTATAGAGAAAGCATAGCTGAGCAACCACCACTTAAGAAATAGAAGATTACTATCACCCAGAAGCCTCTTAGTGATGAGAGGTTCCCTGCCAATCTAGCCACTAACGGTTCCCACCAATCTAGCTAATGTTAATCATCACTTTGACTTTTAACATCATAGATGATTAAGGTTGCCAGTTCTGAACTTTATATAAATCAGTATCAATCTAATCATGCCTTCTTTCTGTGTGTCATTTGGCTGTGGGCATTTGGCTTATTTTCTCAACATTATGTGTTGTCTGTATTTATTTTGCAGTTACAGTTGTCTGTATTTATTTTGCATTTTTATTTTCATGCCTATATGGTATTCCATTATAGAAATTATCCATTAAAAAATAAAACCATGTGTCTCTGGATCCTCTGTATGTCCTCCTTGGTGAAGTGTCTGTTTGAGTTCTTTTCCCATTTTTTAATTGGGTTGGTTGTCTTCTTAGAGTGGAGTCGTGTAAGTTCTTTGTGTATTTTGGAGATTAAACCTTTGTCTGAGGTATCGTTGGCAAATATGTTTTCCCATACAGTTGGTTGTCTTGCTAATTTAATACTGTTTTCTTTAGCCACACAGAAGCTTTTTATTTTGATGAGATCCCATTTGTTTATTCTTTCCTTTATCTTCCTTGCTCTAGGGGACATATCAGTAAATATGCTGCTGCGTGAAATATCTGAGATTTTCCTGCCTATGTTCTCCTCTAGGACTTCAATGGTTTCATGGCTTATATTTAAGTCTTTTATCCACCTTGATTTTATTTTGGTGTATGGTGTAAGTCGGTGCACAAGTTTCATTTTTTTGCACGTAGCTGTCCAGTTCTCCCAACACCATTTGTTAAAGAGGCTATCTTTACTCCATTTTATGTTACTGCTCCCTTTGTCGAATATTAATGGACTGTAGAGGGTTGGGTTTATTTCTGGGCTCTCTGTTCTGTTCCATTGGTCTATGTGCCTGTTTTTATGCCAGTACCAGGCTGTTTTGATTACAGTGGAACATGAAAAGATGCTCAATATCGCTAGCCATCAGAGAGATGCAAATTAAAACCACAATGAGATACCACTTTACACTGGTCAGGATTGCCATCATAAACAAAGCAACAAACAACAAATGTTGGAGAGGTTGTGGGGAAAAGGGGACCCTAGTTCACTGTTGGTGGGATTGCAGGCTGGTGCAACCATTATGGAAAACACTATGGAATTTTTTCAGAAAACTAAAAATGGACCTGCCTTTTGACCCAGCAATTCCACACTAGGATTAAATCCTAAGAATCCTAAAACATCAATTTCAAAGAACCTATGCACCACAATGTTCATAGCAGCACAATTTACAATAGCCAAGAGTTGGAAGCAACCTAGGTGCCTGTCAGTAAATGAATGGATCAAAAAATTGTGGTACATATACACAATGGAATTCTATGCAGCAGAGAGAAAGAAGGAGCTACTACCTTTTGCAACAACATGGATGGAACTGGAAAGCATTATGCTGAGTGAAATAAGCCAGGGGTTGAAAGACAAATACCATATGACCTCACCTTTAACAGGAAGCTAAACAACAAAACAAACAATCAAGCAGAATAAAAACAAAGACACTGAAGTAGAGAATGAGGGGACAGTGACCAGAGGGTAGAGGGCAGGGAATTTAAGGGGAAAAAAGGGGAGGGACTTGGAGGAACAAGTATGAAGGACACAAGGACAAGAACTAAGGGGGGTGGAAATGGGAGGGAGGTGGGGAGCACAGGGTGGGTTGGGCTGGGATGGGAGAAATAGACAGAAAACTGTACTTGAAAAATAAGTAAATAAAAATATAATAAAATAAAATAAAACCAGCCCTGACCAGTTGGTTAGGTGTCATCCCGCAAAGCGAAATGTTGCTGTTTCAATTCCAGGTGAGGGCAGATGCCTGGGTTGAAGGTTTGGTCCCTGGTCGGGGCACGTATGAGAGGCAACCTATTAATGTTTCTCTCTCACATCAATGTTTCTCTCCTTTTCTTTCTCCTTCCCTTTACCTCTCTCTAAAAATAAATAAATAAAATCTTTAAAAAATAAATAAAATCTTAAAATAAAACACTGAAAGATTACACCAAACTGTTTTCCAAAGTATCTGCAAAGGCAGAAGTCAGTTGTGCAAGTTTGCTTGGGGGGAAGGTGCATGAAAGGTGGGAAGACGCAGCTGTGTTGGGTGTCCTTTGATCCCCACAGTGCAGGGCAGGCCTGCTGCTGAGGCCACAAGACCGTATTGGGTTTAAACAGCAGAGCCACCTGACCTGGCTCTGCTCGGTTTGAATTTTTGAAAGGCCCATTGAGCTGAAGTGCAGAGAAAGGACTGAGGGGAGCAAGAGAGGAGCAAGGAGCTCAGCAGCAGACTGTTCCTCTACTGAAGTGAGAAGTGCTGGGGATGGAGAAATGGACAGGTCGGAGATATTCTGAAGTTGAAATTGACAGAAGTGGCAAATAAAATCATGTTTTTGTTTTAATCCACTAAGTTTGGGGGCTCTTCCTTACTCAGCAGTGGATAGCTGATACAGCCTTCACATAGAGGTGCCCATTAGATCTTCCTGCAAAGATTTTCGGGCACTTGGTTGAATGAGCCTAGGTGACAGGTCTGGGCTGGAGATGTGCAGTTAGAAATCAATAGACCATATACGGTGACTGAAGCCATGGAGGAGATGAGATGTCTGGAAAGGGGCCTATTTTTATCTTAGAGGGTTCTGGGAACATTTTGGTCACTGTGGACACCTCACCTTCTCGATGGAGTTAGGAACAGAACCTTGTGCCTTCTTTCTTGTGACTATTTCCTCAAATCAGGCAATGCTTTGTCCTCTTTCTGTACACCTGGTCCACTCTACCAGTTGTTCATTCATTGTCCTTTACTCATCCTCAACGTAGGTCTCCCTGTGTTTTCCCAATTTTTTCTATTTACTGGTATTCATTTCCTTCTGTATCTTTCTCTCTTCATACTCATTTCCCACACACTCTTTACTGGTTTCCCCCAGGAGGGTCTAGGGTGATTCGAAGGTGGTGCCCAGGACACAAGAAGGTGTCAAGAGTGAGATCCATCTTATCTGTGTCCTAGGGTCACCCTACCTACCCTAGACAGGACCCTGCCATCCCCTACCTGATATTTTAGTTTATCCTAACTTATGTTTCCTGCTTTTTAAATTCTATCCCTGCTCCTTAATTAATAATGTGACCTGTGTATACCTCTTCTGTATCAACTTTGTCTTTCTATGCATTTTCCCGATCTCAAGGATTCAAATTATCACCCAAATTCTTCCCCTGTGCTTTTTTTTCCCTGCGTCAAGTCCTTCCATTTGCCACTTCATTTCTAAAAGTCCCCTACCTGGGCTTCCTTACTTGGAAATCTAACCAGCAGCATCACCCATGACTTCCATGTTTCTGTTATAACTTCTAAAAATGAAATGCAACTTATTTCTTTTCACCAACTCCACAACATGGCACTGTTTGGATTCCATCAATTTATGTGAACTCTATCTCACTCTTGTACTTTGTTGTTTGGCATCTCCCAGTCCACCTTCTCCATAGTCTTTCTTTTTGCATTCTCCTGTAGGGACACCCCTCCACTGAAAAAAATGAGCTCCCTTTCTCCCTGACTCTCCCTCCTGTTAAAAACAGCCAGAGGCTGTACACGCACTGTGTCTCCTGGGTGGTGTTCAGCTGGGTGGGAAAGGTGGTTAGTATGGGAGAACAAAGGAAAGCTTTTGCCCTTGTAGAAAAACAAAGATATACTTAGATCATTAGTAAGGTAGGTAATAATTACCTTCTTCACTATGGGGCAATGGGCTGGGTGTCTTGCCTCTTGCATCACCATTATTCCCTTCCATGGGTACTTGTTCATAGAATTCTGAAATATAAAACACAACAGCTGAGGTCCACAGAGCCTTGCCTTGCTCTGTTACCATTTAGTTGAACCTCACCAGCTTCTCTTTTCTTTTCCTGTTCCTGTTTATAGTCTGACTGCATGTATTGCACCTTCACCCAGTGAATGTGATTGGGTTTCATTGATTCCATGGCCAATCTCTCCCTGACCTTTGTTTTTGTTACTCTTCCCCAGTGAGGCTCTGCTGCTCTTCACCCTTTGTTTTTTAGTTATTTCTGTCTTTCTTTATCTAGATCTCTCTTAGGAGTATAGAAGACTCCATTTCTGCATTCTGAGTCCCTGTGATTTCTCTATGTTAAAAGATGTCTCCTTGAATTGTGCCTCATTCTCTGCCACCAGCAAGTACCCCTTGGCCCCTCCACACTCATCAGACCCAGCCACTCAGTCTTACCTGCTGGCTCAGACTCTTGGGCACATCGTTCATTTGCTTGCTGATTTTCAGGTACATTGTTGTCATTGGTTGTGCCTTTTCTCTTCACATTTATCTGTTCTGTTTCAGAGAGGTGCTCTGAGAGTCCATTTTCAGGTGGGGCTGTACCTAGACCACATTTTGATTCACAGATATTTCATCTGCTCTCTGTATCAATCAGGGTCCAACAGGAAAATACAAAGCTCTCTAAGCTTTTAGAGCAGAGGGAATTTAATCCAGGGGATTAATTATACAGTTGATGGAAGAGGTGAGATGTCCAAATGGAGGAATACAGCAACCCAAAGAATGGTGAACAGGAAGCTATGTCAGGGACCATGTGCCAAGGTTACTGGGTAGGTAGAAGCTGGACCATGGCTGCCCACTTGGTGGGAGGTAGAGTCATGGGAGATGCAGCTACTGCCAGAACTGAGGCCCATGAAAGTGACAGCAAAATACCTGGCTTCTCAATTGCTTCCACTCTGCAGTCTCTTGCTAGGGTCTCCCAGGTTAGGTACCCAGCAGGAAGCAGTAGCAAGCGAGCTGGCAAGCAAGTCTGCAGGGGCCTGTGGCCAGAGATAGAGGGCAGAGCAGAGCAGGGAATAATAAAGAATGAATCTCTGAATAACCACCCAGGACCTGTGCACCCCCTTCCCCACAGTGAACCTCCTCTGTGCATTATTAATTCCGTCCATCCATCCTATTCTGTTCCTACCAACCTCAATAAGTTATGAGTGGACGAAAAATTTTTTTCAGTGCAGTTTGGACCTTTTATTTAGTGCTATTTTCTAAGCAAAATGGTTTATGTAAAATATGATTTAAATATTAATTCCCACAATTTTAACATAGAACTTGTGCCATGGTACATGTTTTATGCTACATCCACAGTTCCTTTGAGCCTTTTCTTGGTGGGGATGCAGGGGGTGAGACACAGCCTTTTCCTTTCCTGTTCATGTTGCAGTCAACCATTTCTGCTGGGTCAGACTCTTGGATACCATTATTGGTGGTTTGTTTGCATCATATGGAATGTAGGTTGAAACTTCTCTATATTCATCGTTCACCCTCACTGAGATGCTCTGGGATCTCATTCCCAGGCAAGCTTGCCCTGGGATAGCGTAGAGTGTTATAATGTCATTACCTCCTCCACCTATACCCTACACACAGACACATGCACACTGAATCCCTTCTCTGCTCGTTACCTGTCACAATCCCTTCCTCTTACCCCTTCCTGTTCCCACTATCTGCACTGGTAGGTACATGGCTAATAGGGATTTATACATTTTAAAATTCAGCTGTTTGAGTAAATGTGACTTCCTAAAAGTATAACTATGCTTTCAAAAATCACTCTGGAATTTTTTTCTTTTGTAAAAATGTACTACTTTTGAACGTCCTTTCTTAAATAACACATTCCATGGAAGCTACAGATTATGCCTTCCATGGTGCAGAAAGTTCCCTGAGTCTTCTCCACGTCACTCATTTCCATAGGAGGGGCAAGGAATAAAGACATGAATTTATTATAGCCTAGAGTGCTTTCAGGTGAGGAACCTGTGGTCCTCAATTTCATTTCCTTGGCCTGAGGTTGGTTTGGCTTTAATCACTGCTCCACAGCCTGGGGGATAATCAAATCCACCATGGACATCTGTGACAAAAGACAATCCCACAGTTTACTGAAGTGGCTAATAGCTTAGACTCTGGACCAGACAAATAATGATGAATATTAAACATAGCAATATTAACAAGTGCAAGGAATGCTGGTGAAGACCCAAGCATGGCTGTGAATGCTTACACAACATAACTTGTCAAAAATCCATCCCTCACCCTGTGAAGTGGGTACTATTTTCATCTCCACTTTATAGATGATGACACTGAGGGACAAAGAGGAGGAGTCACATCTCCGGGCCACAGGGCAGACTTTGAAGCCTGGTGTGGATCAGCAGACCTCCCGCTCTCACACTGCCCTATGGCAGGTTCAATCCCTGTTGTCAGTGCCTGAACTTGCAGAAGTAGCCCAAGTCTCTAAACTGATTCTTTGTTCTCTGAAAAACTCAGATGACATACCACCATTTTAACTGTTTGAGAAGATTACATAAAATATTGTCTGTATTACTGTAAGGGATATTGTGACTGATCAGAAAATTAACTTTCTATGATGAATGTCTTAAATTTTATTAACTTCTTAATATTATTAAGAGTATTATAGATTAAGGGATGGTCAAGAGTTGTAAATGGTGGTTATTGTTTGCTAAAGTACCAAGGTGCTTTCCTAGAGTCTGGTCAGGAGTTTGGTGGGCAGCTCCTGGCCTGCTGCCCTGGAGATGATGGGAGGGGGTTTGCATGGGATTTACATGGTGTCCATGGTCCTGTGTGAGGGACCCAGCAGGTGAGAGACCCTGGCCCAGGAGGAACACTTATCATTCTTACCCCACCCCTCTCTCTGCAGTGCTGGCCACCACTGGGTGTGACATCAAAGCAAGGCTGTAGCCAGAGTCAAGCGAGACAGAGGAGAAGACTGTGAAGCCAGGTGCACAGGCAGTAGGTCCAGGCCCTGGTTGTCGGGAGCTGGCAGCATGTGCATTTGAGGGGTGTGGAAGGACCGGCTCTCCCAGCAACCAGGAAAATGAATCTAAATCTTTGGGGAAACTGCAGATGCAAAGAATGACCCTTCTGGGCAATCAGTGCTAAAGAGAAGCATCCCTCGTCCCACCACTGCTTATGCCAGCATGGGACAAAAACAGTAAATGATCACAAAACAGTTAGTAGGAACACACCATTGTGATTCGAGGGACGTGGGCTGTTCCAGGACAGGCTTGGGTATGAGTGCTCACCAGGTCCTAGGGAGAAGAAATTAGAAGTTCATTTCAGAAACTGAAGTTTATTTCAGAAATGCCATTCTCCCCTAATTCCTGGTTAATCCTTATAAAGTAAGACTTGATAATCCCCTCCCTTCAGGTGTCAATACAGAGACTACATGGACCTGGAGGATCCCACCTGACTCTTGCTATCAGACCCAAGTCCCTGTTTGGGCCAACAGGTCCCTGGCCAGTTCTTCTCACTGAGTGTCCTCCATGAGCACCTCAAGTAACTGGCAGTGGTGTTTCTTGGTACCCATGGTCATAGTGAACCTGTTTTTGTCCCCAGAGCTGCCCCTGACTACCAGTGTAGGGCCTTAGTGTAGGACTTCCTACCAATTCCTGGTGCCTCACCCGATCTCCCTTCACACCACACCCCACCTCTGCATGTCTGTTTCTCTGCCTCGTTGGCCTTTTCATGAGGTTCTCTCTCTGATTCTCCTGCACTTCTCCCAGATTCTCGTATTATTCTTTCTGTATGTTTCTCTCTTCATATATTTCTGTTTTTGTTTCATGCTTCTGTCTTTTCCATTAACTTATCTGGGTATGTACAGGATTAAGAATACAGGCTCTGGGTTCAAAATATCTGGGTCCATCCTGCTCATTTCACCCCAGACCAACTACACACATGGTCTCTCTACACTTCAGTTTCCTAATGAGCATGAAAGTAAGACTAATCTTTAATGGCAGGTGCAAGCACTAAGCCCACAACTGCCAGAGTAAATGTTCAATCAAGTGAGCTGTTAATTATATGGTTGTTTTATCATGTCCTGTAATCTTTTCTCCTGTCTTTCATTTCCCCTTCTTCTTTACTGTCTCAAAGCACCCACATCTCACCACTTCCCCTCTTCTCTCCCCACATGACTGCCCATCTCCTTGAGTACTTCTGCTCTTGAACAGCACCCCCAATTTCAATCAGTCCTGTTTTCTGTCATCATCATGGATCTCTTGTGTGATGTTGACCCTGTACCCACAGTTCTTAGCCCTTCACAGTTTCAATCTGCTACAGGATCTTTATAAATCACAATTGCCTCCAGGTCAACCTTCTTGTTAAGCCTGGTTTCCTGACACATTGGGTTCCTGTTCCTTTGTCCCGATTATTGGGCCTATGGTCTCTTGCTCCTCTGGGATCAGCACGTGGTTTGCCACTCATACAAACCCCCCCTCCCTGCCTTCTCCAAGCTCCTCAGCAGTTCTTCCCTGATTCCTCAAATCCACTCAGGACTCAGAGCCCACCTCCCTTTCTCCTTTCCTCTTAGCAGATGAGAATCAGTGTTTATCTGGTTGCAATCACCTTGTCCAAGGCTCAAGTGGTTGTTATGGTTCTCCAAAGTCTCTTCTTCATCACTCTCTTGTTGACAAAGTTTCTCGTGGATTGCTGAGAAAATGGGAAGAGAAGACCATCAGTGAATTCCATCAGTGAACAGGGACATCACCTCAAATTTACATGGTTAGAAATTTCCAGACCTTTGACCTCTCATAGCTGAGCGGGTTCCCATCCTCATGGTCAAGTTCCCCATCATTGTTGGACAGCAAAAAGAACCCCCAACAAGCAACACTTTATATTTCTCACACAGAAAGGAGCCTCTCAAACATCAGAATAAAGGAACTGTGAAAACATCATGAGCCTGTTAACTCATGTGGAAAAAATTCATATGGCTTGAAAAGCATATGTCAAAATCAGTACTGGAAGTGAATGTGTTTTCTGAACTGCTCAACCTGTAATGCAGAAATAGAAGGAGACCTCAGTAGATGAACTAGGATCCTAGAGAGATCCACATGTATAAGAGAAAAAGCCCAACAGCTCTAAAGATGGGCCTGAAGAAGAGAAGGATTGGACTTAATTGGGTCAGGGAGGATGAGTGTCTCCCAAAGAGACAGACAAGAAGACATTGGTGGAAGTAGACAGACCTGGCACAAGGGGCACAGGTTCCAGAAACAAAGGCAGGACACTGAAGCTGCAAGCAGGGGGCGGATATTTCAGCCTTGGAGGATGTCCCTAGATGCCTTGACCAGGGGCATGGAAGGCTGCCAGTGAGGAGAGAAGGGAGCCACAACCCAGGGACTCTGCATGTAGGTGACCCAGCAAATGTAAAGAGGAAGAAAATAAACCAGGAAGTCTGGGTGTGGGTGTCCATGGAGAGTCCAGGAAGGATGAGACACTGGAAGGAGGTACAGACTACCCAGGCCATTGATGGGAGCTCCTCCTGGGACCATGCCTATTGGTTGGTTGATGAACAAGACTGTGGGAAGCATGGATGCTTTGTCATCCTAGGAATAAAACCATTTCTCCTTCTTTAAGAGCAAATTTGACTTTGAGTTAATTTTCTGGCTCATTGGGTTTCTGGAAACCTGATGAAAATGGCCTCTCCTCTGTGTCACTAGGCCAATGCTGGGTTTAGGGTTATTAAGAATGACCAGTGACTGTAGGTAGATAAATTGCATGTGTACTAGGAGGGACTAGATATAAACTACAAACCATTTTTGCTCTTCCTCCAATGTGGAGACTCTTGGAACTAACTCAGCTGTCCCTTGTGGTGTCTCTGTAAGTTATGATTACAGAGTTGTTACATGAGACATTGAGTCCCCTGGGTATGTTGTGGCTAAATCAGGGTGAGTCTTATACCTAAACCGTCACTCAAGATAGGTAGCATTCAAGTTGGTGGACTGCTGTGTGGGCCACTGCAAGTGGTCCCAGAGAAAAGCAACAACTGATGCTGCCTTATTGGGATGTTGTATTTCTTGTGATTTGTCCTTCTTAGTATACCTGATGCCGTTGTGGCTGTGGTTGTCCTGTATGACTCTAAACGCCTAGTTAAGAGGACCTCAGGGTAGGTGTTACACTGTAGCTATTATACCGTAGGCCTTGAGAAGGATCATGATATGTCTGTTTTCTTAACTGGAATGTCCCCACTGCCCACCACTGTGTGTGACCCATGGTTGGAACTAAATATATACTTGTCAAAAAAAATTATCCCTGTGTATCAAGAGGTAGGTAATAAACCTAAATACCATTTTCAAAGCTTTTATAAACATTGTTTAATTCAGGGTATTCCTGTTTGTTGATGTCGCTGAACAATGCTTCCAGAAGTGGCAGGTCAAATTTCTCCTCCAGTTGACTGAGAACATTGTACACAACTCTCTGTACAGGGACCAGGTTTCTACAAGATTCTTGACAATCCTGAAAAAATAAAAATGGAGAAACTATAAACACAGTGTTCTAAGTTACGGAAGAGCCATCGAAAATGATTTTATTGTTAATTTTTTTACAATTTCCTTACATAGATATTTTCTCATGTAAAGTTTTAGAATCTCTGTTTATTTGTATGGTTACAAAGTGACTGTTATATAATAAACCTTACTTACTTCATACATTTTGTTGGTGATAATTTCACGGTCACGAAGAACCTCAAGGAAAGGAAATTCTTTTTTTATTGCACTTGCAATATCGATCTTATGTCTTCTGAAGTGCTTGAAAACAATGTCATAGATAAGGTTTTCCTCTCTACTCTGGTCTTCTGTGGACATCCTAGGGAGGAAGGATACCACGTGGAAAAGGTCATCAAGATTTTGAGATGCTTGTGAAGGCTGCAAGATTTCATACACTAAGGATAGGCTGTGAAGAACCAATGTAGGTAAAGTTATTCATCTTGAGAAGAGAAAAAAATAAATGGAACTAAAACAATAAATAAAGATTTAAAAGAAGAAAGAATTGAAAGGTAGAAATTGAGAAAGACTTAAACACAAAACTGAGAGAAGTCTGGTTCAGTCTGCCCCAATCAAGGCCATTCATTGTAAAGCTATCTTCACATATCTGAAATTTTTTAATTAAAAAATTTTTAATCTGTACAAAATTATGATGGAGTATACAGATCATCCACAGAGAAATAAAACATAGTGGAATAACAATAGCATCTAACCTTGAACGTGCATCTTAATTAACAACAAATAAAAGATAAATCTCAAATTTAAAAACAAGGTGTCCCTTCTCTGACCAATAGCACTTCAGAGACATAACATCCTACATTATAAAGTCAGTTAATGAATGAAAAGATGTGGTTGGAAAAAGATATGATATAATATAAATGGAATATTTCACAAGAATAGCAATAATTTCTTCTGGGACTTTTGCTTTGTGTTGATATAAATCTATTTGTGCTTTGTTATATATGGTGAATCTTTTCATGCACCTGAACTTCAGAAATTACTGTTGTTTCTGGTGAAACTAATTGTAAACATGAGTCCAATTCTGGTTCTTAGTTGATAATTTTATTACTATAATAATAATGTTTTAATCCACATCTTATATTCCTAAATGTTATGAAAGACACATACAATTATTTTTTGCTGAAAACTGACTTGTGTGAAAAATGAAGGACAGAACAATGCACCCTCCACTCCACAACCCACACGCTGACCACCAGGAGCCCTGCATCCCTGGAGACAAAACATTGCTGTCTTTCCGTCACCACGTTACTGTTGCCTGTTACTGGATTTCATACGGGGAATAATACATCACGTATGCTTATGTGTCTGACTTCTTCTGCTCATCATCTATGTTTTTGACTATTAGAAGTTTGCTCCTTTTTACTGTAGAGAGTATTCCATGGTGTGTTTCTACCACAATCTGTTTATTCACTGTCCTTTTGGTGAACAGCTGGCTTGATTTCAGTCTGGGACTAGTGTAAATAAAGCTGCTGTTCTTTTTGTGGCAAGATGTTTTCATTTCTCTCAGGGAGACAGCTAAGATTAGACTTGCTGGGTCATTGTGTAAGAGTGTGTTTAAGCATTACAGAATCTGCCAAGTTGTTTTTCAAAGTCCATTCATGTAGCCTTTCTAATTTCAGCCATTCTAATGTTTGATGTGGTATTTCAAATAGCTTTGATTTGTATTTTTTTATGAAACATGAAGTGATTTAAAAATATGTTTTGTTTATTTACTTTTTTAGTGAGAAGGGAAGGGAAGGAGGAAGAGAGAGAGAGAAATATCAATGTATGGTTGCCCCTAACATGCCCCCAACTGGGGACCTGACCCTGCAACCCAGGCTTGTACCCTGACTGGGAATCAAACTGGAGACCCTTTGGTTTGCAGACCTGAGCTCAATCCACTGAGCTACACCAGCCAGAGCTGATTTGTATTTCTTTAATGACCGATGATATTGATCACATTTTCACATGTTTATTGGTTATTCATATATTTTATTTTGTGAAGTATCTGTTCAAGCCTTTGGACTATTTAGATCACTGTGTTGTCTTTTAATACTTATTGTTGTGTAAGAGTTTGTTATATATTGTGGACAGAAGTGTTTAGTTTGATTTATGTATTGGAAACATTTTCTCTCAGTTTGCCTTTGATTTCCTTAACTTTCCTTATTTTTTATTGTTTTATTTTATTTTAAAATTAAATTTACTGGGGTGACATGGGTTAATAAAATTATATAGGTTTTAGATGTACTGGGTTGCATGTTAAAGTCTATAACGTTGTCCATGTCTGAGTTTTATTTTTATTTTTTGCTTAATCCCTTCACCTTTTTTCACCCAGCCCCACAGCCCCCTCCCCTCTGATAGCTGTCAGTCTGTTCTCTATCTATGCATGAGTCTGTTTCTATTTTTTTGGTTAGTTTATGTTGTTCATTAGATTTACACAATGGAATACTACTTGGCTGTAAAAAAGAAGGATACCTTACCCTCTGTGGCAGCATAAATGGACCTAACCTCTGGAAAGCAGTATCCTAAGTGAAACAAGCCAGTAGAGAAAGGGAAGTATCATATGATTTCACTCATACGTGAAATCTAATGAAAAAAATAAATTAGTTATATCTTTTGATGAAGAAAACATTTTAATTTTGATGAAGCCAAATCTATTTCTTTATGATTAATAACTTTAGTGTACTAAGAAATCTTTGCCTACCCAAATTTAATGAAAATATTAAAAAAGCCATTTACATATAGGCATGGGTATTTTTCTGGATTTTCTGTTCTGTGCCATTGATCTACCATATTTTTAGGACTATAAGACGCACTGGACCATAAGATGCACCTAGGCTTTAGAGGAGGAAAATAGGAAAAAAAAATTGAAGCAAAAAGTGTGGTAAAATATTTAATAATCTGTGATCCCGCTCCACTGCTGCTCTCCCTCCCCCCACAGCAAGCCAGGTAAGCTACATTTGGACTATGAGATGCACCCCCTTTTCCTCCCAAATTGGGGAGGGAGTACATCTTATAGTCTGAAAAATACAGTATTTGTCTATCTTTAAGCCAATAGCATATTGGCTTGAATACCACAGGTAACAGGAAGACTGGGAGTCAGTTAAGAAGATTTTTTTGCTTTTCCTAAGCATTTTGGTTTTCCACATATCTTTTATTATGTTTTTATTCAAGAAATATTTATTGAGGGCACTGTTGTTTTATTTTAAATATTATTTTGTATTGATTTCAGGTATGCAGCATACCTGAAATATGGAGCATAGTGGTTACAGAAGCATATAAATTTACACAGTGTTTCCCCCCCTGATATTTCTACCTGGTCCCACACCTTTGCAAATCAGTTTGTCAGTTTTTATAAGAAAAGCCTTTTGGAATTTTATAGCTTTTTATATTGAACCAACAGATCAATTTGGTAAGAACTGACATCTTAACAATATTAAGCTCCAATCTGTTTACATTTTGTAAGTTCTCCATTTATTTAATTTTTCTTAATTTTGCCTGGAAGTGTTTATAGTTTTTAGTATAGAAGTCATGTATATCTTTTCTTAAACTTATACCTTACACTTAAAGTGTTGAGCTGAGCAGTAAAGAAAACTTAAGTTAAATAATTTCTTTAAATATAAAAAATTGGAACAATATGGTTTCAAATTTAACAGTAAGAATATGGAAATATAGATTGAAAAATGATTGTAAAAAATTGAAAGTAATCACTGGCTGAATGAAATCAGACTTCATAAAACCTTTGAAAGACTAAAAAATAAAAAGAAACAGTTTTCATTTTTAAAGAGAAAAAACAAGGAAAACAATAGGACTCTAAAAGTTAAAACAGGTTAAAGCACTATGAAAAATATATAATTTAAAACACTAAATAAAAATTAAAAAATGATAATATTAGAAGGCATAGGATCAAAGATTGGATCCAAGAAGAGACGTAAGAAAGACAAACTGACACAAAATTTGTTAAAATCAAAGAGAGGTCAGTGATTGTGGGGGGCAGGGGTGGGTGGAGGTAGAGGAGGGTATAGAGCAGATAAATGATCATGAAAAAATATAAATAAATAAAACCATAAAGAGATAGACAAGTAAAGTTACTCAAATGTGAATAAGACAAATAATAGGGATATTCATTTCCATATCTAAGCAAATTGAAGAAACAAATAATGGGACAAATGTTTTATGGATAGCAAAAAACAATTCACTTCTAATTTTTGACTCTTCACATATACAAAAAAATGATAAAAATATACAGACTATGGAGAAATTAGGAAGAATGATTTTATTATTTAATTTTAAGATCTAGAAAATGAACACACCATTTTTCAATGTCCTTGCAATGTATATCAATATGGATTATAATCTTTGCCACAAAAATGTCTTAGTGAGTTATAAGCAGCAGAAGCTAACTGGGTTGCATGTTAAAGAAAATAAAACCACCCACAGATTTTGTAAAACAAAACAAAAACTATGGTGCTGGGTCAAAGAAAAAATTAAACCTGTTGTTAGAGGTGATTTCAAAAAAAAGGAAAAAGAATGAAATGAGAAAGTAATAATGGTTCAACATTAGGGAATCTCTTTATGTAACTCATCACATCAACAAACAAAAAGAAAACAGTTGTAAATAAATCACTAAATGGCAGTAAAATAGAATTTAATAAGACCCAAGCCCTTTTTCATAAAAATTATATAAAATAGGTACTAGTACAACATAAATTCTCCCCAAATAACAAATATTACAGTTAACATTGAAATAATAAAAAGTCATCTAAATAGAAAAAAAGACAAAGATGCCTATCATTATCATAATTGTTATATATATATATACATATGTATATGTCTATATATGTACTTAAAAGTTTTAGCTAATGCAATAGAATAAAAAAATGAAGTAATTGATCTAAATAATAAAATAAGATACAACATTATATGTCTTATGATTATATACATAGAAACCCAAAGGATATAACTATAGTCAATAAAAACTAGAAAAGAAATTTACCAACATGCATGAATAAAAAAATAAGTACATGAACTTACAGATTTTATTTGGAACAACATAAACTGAGAAGAAACAAAATAATTTGTCAGACAGAATAGCAAATACATACTTAGACTTATAAACATCTGAAAGGCATGGACCTATATGGAGAAAACTTTTGAAGGAAATTACATACGGTCTAAATAAATAGAGATGTACCAGGTGCCCCCAATTAGAAAAACAGAAATTTAAAAACAGCAATTCTTCTGTTATTGTTGTATAAATGTGGAGCACTTGCAACTTGTAATGCCACTGTTACTGGATAAAGTAATATAAAAACTTACATG